GTTGTTCTGATTCATGGCTTCATAGTTTCATGTGTGTAGGTATTGCACCTCGTGGCTTCATGGTGGCTTCATGGTGGCTTCATGGTGGCTTCATGGTGGCTTCATGGTGGCTTCATGGCCCGAAGGTTCGAAAAGGCTTCCTCCATGGGACGCTGTGCCAGGCAACGGAGGCAGTCCCTTCACGAGGCTCTCCATCTGGACCTGCTCCGACTGCTGAGGGATGCTACGGACATATTGCGCGCCCCCCGATATGTATATGTATATATATATATATATACATATATGTAGTGCAGGTACATATTTATAAAGTCAAATATTATATACGTTGTGCATGCTACAATTAGCTATTTTTGGACTGCCTTGCACTCTGAAGTAGCTCTGCACCGAACAACATCGATTCATCTGCATGGGTTCCCGCCAGAACCGCAAACTCTCGTCTAAACATCTGAACCACGAAAGCTGAGCAGGACATGCCTGACTCACCAGTATCAACTCATGATGACTTTGTGGCTTCCCTCATTCCCCGGTCGCCTGCTTCGGTGTAAAACCTGCGTGGGGTCCAAGCCGGGAGTTGGGTCCGAATGTATTGAACTGCTTTGAGGGTTCTACGGTTCCCTGGGCCTGCTCAACGGCTTCACACGTGATGTTTCTGCATGCTTCGCCGACAGTCGGCAGCTTTCACGAAGCTAGCCATGCTGCAGACAACTTCCGCTACCAGAGGTCCTAAGCGAGCCAATTGTGAGCAGCCAAGATGCTAAGCAAAGCTTAGCTCAGCTGCAAGAGCTCGGACAAGCCACACAAAAGCACGTCGCTGCTGCAAAGACCCCGACGCCACACCCTTCTGCAACCCTGCCTCTGAGCCGACCACGCGGCCCTAAACTCCTAAACCCGTCCAATGACCCCCCCCCCTTTCTGATCCTAAACGCGGAGACAGCAGGAACCTGGTGAGCGCCTCAGGCCCGGCTCGGAGAGCTCATCCTGAATCGCGCACATGGCATCCAGCCGCATGAAGGATTTCAAAAAAATGTAAAGTGCTGCTACCGGTGAAAACGGAAGCTCGGCAATGCTGGGGGTCCGTGGGCTTTGAACGCTTGTGAGCACCACCTGCCTCCTCGTCGTACTGACACATCGCCTTCGCACACCTCGGCCGTTGAGGCTTCAGGTGTTGTTAAGTTTTGTTGCACCTAGCAGGATCTGTCAGCATCTGTCAGCATCTGTCAGCCTTAGCCCCGAACTTTGAAGCACAACGTGGCCCAGACAGAACATGACAGAACCATGGCCCACCCCAACTGTGAACCTCAAACTCCAAGATGCTCGCAGCCCCGAGTCCTTAAAGCTGAGGCTGAGCACCGGCACTGGTTCAGAGAACGCGGAAAGCGTGTGGCTTGAGCCAGACTTCTGCAGTTTGGGCTCGAGCTCCGGTGCTTGGTACCCTTTCACCACGACTTCCGATACTCCGACACTCACGATTCTTCTCAATCTTGTTAACTCATTAAGTGGCGTCGAGCATGGTGACCGGGTCTCTTGGGCTGTGGTAGCTTTAGTGTTCAACTCTGGGGCAGTCTCGCTTTTTTGCCTCTCTTCCCGCGGCAAACAACCTTCGGGAGGAGAACCATCAACAAGCCCTAAGCCTCCTCAACACGCGCAAGCACCTCCACCTTGACTGCAAACAGCCTGCTGCCCCGGGGCTCTTGCCGAGCGTACCACCATACCTGGGATGGAAGGTGTGTCGGGGGTTTGGGGGCGTTGCTTCATGTGCTTTTCTTGGGGTTTCGGCAACGAGCTGCACCGCGGGGTACGCTGTGGAGACACGTTTGCCCTTTTGGCAAGGCACCTGTGTCTGCCAGGCTCCCAGCCCGCTTGCACATGCTTCAGGACGCTCCAGAACAGAGCCCTCCCCCCTCCTCCCCCCCGGCCCACCCTGCTAATCTGCCGGGCGCAGGCTGGAAAGCGTTGATGGAATCGAAATTCTGAGGGAGGTACGCAAGCCCTCGTTCACCCCCCTTTCCCACCTTGGCCGAAATCAACGCACTGGAGCCACTGGACACTGCACTACCATTTTGGTAGATGACGCTGATACGTGGCCTTTCAAGACAGCAGTCAGCCAGGGGCCAACTGTGCACAGCCGAGTAAAGTGCAAACGGGAAGGGCGAAAAAAGAAAAGCGCCGCCATGGACACACAAACGAACGACCAAGCGTCCACATTCAGCCCCGGAAATCCGACCTGACCTTTGCAAGGTGGGCCTGAAGTGGGTAATTAACGCTCGTTTCGCCATGGCACTGGCCCCAACGTCATCGTCGTTGTCGATGGCCTGCCAGGTGCAGACTTCTGCCAAGCATGTCCTAGGCTCTCTCATGGGTTACCGTAGCCAGAGTCTGAGCCAATCGTTCTTGGCCTCGCAGGGCAGCTCAGGTCTATGCAACCGTTCACCCGAACCCTAAGATCTTGCAAAGGGCAAGGGGCAGTTGCTGACAAGGATGCCTTGTAGACATTTGCGCGCAGCTCTGCACGAATCTGTCCGAGAACACCTGGGGTTGGGCGCAACATCCAAACCAAAAGCCTTAAGGCAATGCCAAGGGTACCCCTTTGCGCCCATGAGCAGGTGGTCAGTCTCGTGATCTTAGAAAGCCTTGTCAACTTTGCGTTGGATGCAGTGCAGGGGCCAGCGATGACCTGATCTAACATCGCTTCGTTCCCCATGTCATGTGGGACCTGTGGTCGGGCGGCAGGCTTATCATGCGACACCTGCGGAGTTCCGAATTGTGTCCGGTTGTGCTGGAAAAGGTTTGCAGGCTGCATTTCTGAGCGACTTACATTGACTTCCGCGACGACCACGTCACTGATTGCTCGTCAGATGTCCATTCCCTGAACCCCAATTGAACACCTGCTAGAAGCCAGACTGAAAGAGATCTGAAGGATTGAGATGCCACAGCCGCAAAGGCCCGCCAGCCCAGGCTCCAAACAAACCCAAACCGAGTCTCAAAGAACGCCAGGGTCCTGGCCGTTTGATTCCAGCGTCCTCACAACCAGAGACTTCAGCTCCTGCAAAGAAGCTTGCTAGTGAACCGGATCCGTATGCAGGGCTCAAGGAAGAACGTGGGTGTTTCGGGGGTGCGAATGGATGCTAAGGTTTGTTTGGCATGGTACCGAGAATGCAAGGCTGCGAGTTCGGCCACACGATTCGGGGATCTGAGCTTAAATGAAATCTGCAAGCTCTTTGCTTGAAAAGCGGCTGCAGCAACAGAAACTCGTCCATGAGTGTTGCAGAACGGTCGCACACGAAAGATTACAATGCCTTCGCAAAACATTAAGATAAGGACGCCCCGCTCCTCCTTCTCCTCCTCCGCTTCCTCATCCGCATCCTCCTCCGCCTGGAGAGTATGGCTGCAAGGGGGATCGTGGATCCTTCTGATTTCCGGGACTATTTTGCAGATCCGGGCTTTGGATGAGCATGCCACGGTCTGTGCACCCAGTGAGCCAAATACCGTGCACTGTGAATCCCAAGGCCCACGACGAGAAGCCGCAACATTCCGGACCCCTCCCGCAAACAGCCTCTGCGGAACGACCAGGACCTACTCCACAAAGGGCTTCACCTGCAAAGACTTTCCGCGATTGTTTTTTTCGGTAGTTTTTGGTTCAGTTCTTTGGTTTCCCTACAAAAACTTCTGTTGCCTCTGTAACTATGTTCACGGAATCTTTCCTTAGAAAAACTTTATTGCCTCCCATCTCTCGTACTCATTTGCATGGGATGCGGATTTATTTGGTTAATTTCCCAGGTTTTCCTGAGGAAAATCTATTGTGTACTAATGTTCAAGGGATCCGCATTACTCTGGCAAGTTTTCCCCAGGGTAAAACTCTGTTGCCTCTGTATTTGTCATAGGATTCCGATGACTTTATGAATCGTGTTTTTTCTCATGGATTTGGTCAGTTCCCTTGGCTTTCCATAGTACAAACGGTAGTACAAACGGGTTTTGGAAGCATTCCGATGTTTCTAATGCAAGTTCTCTTATGGGCATGAAGTTTTGAAAAAAGCGGAGGTGGGGGGGGGAGGGACACACCGCCCCCGCCCCCCCCCAATTGCAAAAAACGATGCTCGGAGGACGGGTTTGGAATCATAATAAAATACTGTACAATGAAAGACGTCTTCGCACTTGTTTCGTTCGGTCGCTCATAAGATTCATGCATTCGCAAGCTCACTAATAATCTTCTCTCTCTCTCTCTCTCTCTCTCTCTCTCTCTCTCTCTCTCTCTCTCTCTCTCTCTCTCTCGCTCTCTCTCTCTCTCTCTCTCTCTCTCTCTCTCTCTCTCTCTCTCTCTCTCTCTCTCTCTCTCTCTCTCTCTCTCTCTCTCTCTCTCTCTCTCTCTCTCTCTCTCTCTCTCTCTCTCTCTCTCTCTCTCTCTCTCTCTCTCTGTCTCTCTCTCTCTCTCTCTCTCTCTCTCTCTCTCTCTCTCTCTCTCTCTCTCTCTCTCTCTCTCTCTCTCTCTCTCTCTCTCTCTCTCTCTCTCTCTCTCTGTCTCTCTCTTTCTTTCTTTCTTTGGGGCTTGAGGAGCCCAGGGCCCCCCGCGCGACAGCGCGCCCCGCTCCCGCGTCAGTTCCGCGCTACCACTCACGACGCCGGCCCTTTGGCCGCAGCACGCATGCCGCCACCTGAACAGGGCCTGTTTCGACCCGTTCTCTGTACTTTCCGCATTGCTTGCTTATCGACCCTCAATCCCTTCTCCTCCACACACCCCTGGAATCCTAGCCCCCCAACCCTGCCCCAGAAAAGTCGGTCCAAGCCCCCAAAACCTGTACGTGTACCCCACATCCTTGACCCTTCTGCCAAGCCTTCCCGAAGCGAATCCTCCCCTGTCCCCCAGCAGTAACGAACCTTCCCGAAATCAAGACCTCCCCAGCCCCCCGACTCTAGTCGCTGACTGCAATGCGTTTGTGGCGGTCGCTGCTGTCCCTCCTCACGTACCACAACTTACTAGCCCCCTAAGCGCCCTAGCACTTAACCTAGTAGGTTCCCCTAGGAGGGTGCGTGAGTGTTGTGGCTCCTGTTCCCAGCAGCCTACGTCTCCTATGCTCATCATCAGAGGAGTTCTGCTCCCCATCACTCAGTAGCTCTCGATCTCGCTGTAGCCCCTCGCCGCTCTCCGCGCCAAACGCTTCGCCCCCGGGCGGCCACTCCAGCGTCTCACATGTATCCGCCGGCTCGTGGGACGTTGCCCCCCCATCCAGGTGGTTGGCTTCGGTCTTCGGGTTGCCAGAGTCACGATCATGCCCCGGTCCAACTGCACCGCCCAGGACGTTCTCCGCGTTCATCGCGTTCGTCAGGTCTCGTTCGCCCCCATCCAGGCCGTCTGTCTCGTTCTTCTGGCTGCCACTATCACGATCTTGCCCCAGAGGCGCTGCATCTCCCACCGGCGCCATCGCCGCCATGTCGCCCCCATGTGGACTCTGCCCCTCTACTGCTTCATGTCTCGGGTGCTTGTTGGCTGCGGCTTGCCGGGATGCGTGAGATGCCCCCCGTTTGCAGCCCCTTTCTTGCTCTCTTGCCGCCGCATCACCCCCCCCAAGGTCGGTGATCCACGAATTGAGCACCTGGTAGACTTGCCACAGCTCGTCTGTTATCTCCCCCACCATGAGGACATGCCCAATGGCATTGCGGGCGAGCAGGATCGGGTGTGGGTGCGGGTGCATCCCGCTGGAGGAGCTGCTTCCCCCTTCTTGTGCTTCCACGGCCCCCGCTGCCAGTCCTATGACATCTGCTGGGTGCACGCCAGAGGGTTGCGGCTGCTGCTGTGGCTCCGCGTAGTGCGTCTGGAGTGGCGTGTGCTCGCTGCCGCTGCCGCTGGCCCCCTGCGCTTGTTGCGGCAGGTGTTCAGGCCCCTGCTGTGCTTGTTGTTGGGGGTGCTCAGGCCCCGGCTGCCAGTCATCCCCCAGCACGCACGCAGCCCCTCCCAGACACGCTTCCAGGTGGGACACGGCTTGTTGGAGGTGTGTGTGTGCGCAAGGCTGCTCGCCCCCGCGGCGGCCGCATCCTCAATGGCCCCCCTTGCTCCTATGATTTCCGTCTCTGCCAGCCCGTGCAGCTCCCAGCTTCGTGTGCGTCGGACCCCCCCCAGCCTCTCTCTCTCTCTCTCTCTCTCTCTCTCTCTCTCTCTCTCTCTCTCTCTTGACCTTTATTCATATTAGAACGCAGTGAGCCGCATGAAAGGTCTGAGCGATCACTTCCTCGTTATCGTTCGTCTCTTTTGCATTTACTAGTTCTTTGTTTTTTGCTTTGTCGGAGTTTCGGTTATTCCTTTCTTTCATTTCTTTCGGTATGTTCTTTCTTTCGTTCTTTCTTTATCTATTTCTCTCATTCTTTCTTGATTTCATCTGTTACGTTCTTTTCTCTCTCGCCTGTTCTTTCTCTCCTTCTTTCCTTCTTTCCTTCCTTCCTTCCTTCCTTCCTTCTTTCCTTCTTTCCTTCTTTCCTTCTTTCCTTCTTTCCTTCTTTCCTTCTTTCCTTCTTTCCTTCTTTCCTTCTTTCCTTCTTTCCTTCTTTCCTTCTTTCCTTCTTTTTTCGGGCAACCCCCGCGCAATCTGCGAGCCCCTCGTGTGTGGAGCGAACTGATCTGGCAGGGGGGGGTGATATCAGATTCCCCGCATCCCCCATTCTAGGACCAAGCATCGTCCCCCACCTGAAATGCCCTTATCTTTCAAGGAAAAGAAACTCCGAGGAAGGAAACGTGCAAGGTTCTCGGATTAGCTCGGGTTGTGTTTTCCCGCCCTCGAATTACATGAAACCTTCCCCGAGTTGGCACCGGGGATTTCACCTCAGTCGAATACTGGCGCAAACACTGACACCAGCACTTGTTGCGAGATTCCGTTCTCGTTGTTGCTTCTCAGGACATATCTAGGGTGCTCACCCCTCCCCCCCACCGCGAGAAGTCAAGAAAGTAGAGGGCTCTGAAAAAAAAGCCTAAGAGAAAATACATGGCTTTCTAGTATAAACAAAGAAACACAATGCTCGCAAGACGGGTCTTGAAAGCTTAAAATTGTGTGGGGGTTGTGGGGCGTAGCTTCCCCCCTCCCCCCCCCCCTTCCTGCCAGTTGCAAACACAAGCTCGCAAGACGGGGTTGGAGTGGCAATGAGGACCTTCTGTCTCTGAAACGTTTCTTTCTTTGTTCGTTTCTGTGTTTTCTTTCTTTCGTCTCGTGAAAGTGTTTTCCTAGTGCAAAACATGAAGGTCAATGTCCGCCTCCAATAACGAGGGCCTAGAGGCTGCAAACGTACCTGCTAAAATCGCCACTGGCAGCCCAACATTCTAAACATCTTCAACCATACAAGTTGTGCCTTGGATGCAGATTTAGGCTTGGGAAGTTGGACTGGGAGCCGCTGCCTAAGGTCCCACAGGGCTCTGAACCTTGCGAGGTAGCAAGGGCCATGGCTTATCTACTGAAGTAGCGACAGTCAAAAAAGTGCAGAGGGGGTCTCCTGCCGTGAGGTTTGAACCGATGGACCTGTCACCTTTACCGGGCAAACGGATGCCCAAACCTGGCACTCTGAGTTCCTCTGTCCCTCGGAACCCCGAAACCCAAGAAATATCCTAAACCCCATCAACTGCCCTAAACCCGATAAGCCCTGCAAACCCCACAAGCCCCACAAGCCCTACAAACCGAGAAAAAAAAAAAAAAAACTGCAAACCAAACAAGACCTACAAACCCCAACAAAAAAAAGCAACAATACCAAAAAAAAACATAAACTGTAAACCAGACCATGAGAGGCGTGTCCCCAAGCCTTGTGCCGTTGACATCATGAAGCCCAGGGCTGGCAGAAGGCTGGGGATCGGGGCTTAGGGTTTAGGGGTTAGGGGTCAGGAGGGTTTAAGGGAACCCTATTGACGGAATCTCACGTGCAGTGTATAAGCCACTCGGCCAGTGACTTTAGTCCAGGCTATGGTTGAGGAGATCGGAACCTAACAGGGCGGTCCAAAACATGCTTTGGTGCATATTCGGCAGTGCTCTAATTCCCGCGACGCGCCTGTGTTCCACGCACGGACTGGAGTCAGGCAGACTCCACCGGCAAACCCCCACAAACGGCTGCAAACCCCTTAGCGTTGCGGTGGCTGCTAGTGGAGTGAAACATAGTGAAACTGTACGGCCCTATGGGCCTAAGTATGCTTGTGGGCAGGGTCGTGTGAGGTCGCAACTATAGGTGCTGTGGCGCAAGCCGTACGCCTGCCAGCGCTTCGAAGGGGTCTTATACGCTTGGAAAGCATGGAAAGCATGGGAAAAACTTGGAACACCCAAAACCTTGAACCAAAAATGCTGTGCAGGTGAAGATGATTTTGCCTGGATTGCTCTTGAAGGAAAGCAGCGGTAGAACAAAACAGTGTGCCGCGTGTCGCGGAGCATCATAGCATCTCCTTTCGATATCCGATAACCTGTTTTGAAAGTTTTCGCTAGAATGCAAGTTTGCCTCTTGCCGGGGCGTCCTCGAGGTCGAGTAGCATGTTGCATCAGACGTGCAAAGTTGTGCTTTGCGTGCGCAACTTATTGATGCAAGGTCGCTCGGGCTTGAATGTTGTGGGCTTCATGAACAGGGTGCCCCCACATGCGCATGTTGAGGATGTTTCTGTTTCGAGGACTACTCGTTCTGGGGTTTGGATAGTTCCAGTCAACTAGCCAACAGGAGGTTGCATCACGGTTGCATCCCTTCCGCAGCCGAACGCCCTGCAGCAAGAAGGACGCATTTTCTACCTCTGTCGCCCAACTTGTTGGATCTACCACTACGACAGGTCTCCACAACTCCATCAGGGGCAAACCGCCTTTGCTGCTTAGGCATGCAAGTCTGAGCCCAGAGAATGCTAGGGCCGCTAGGGTCGAACTGCTACGGCCCTTTACCAAAAACTCTGTGAAACCCTCATTTTTGGGTTGGGGCTCAAAATCCACAAAGACCAACCCACCTACAATCCGAGTTGGGTGCGTCAATGTAGCACGTGTCAGTATGTTTCCTGACATTTCTTCGAGTCTTGAGTAGAACAAACAGAACCGCCTGCGGACCAACCAAGTCTCCCAAAAGTCTCCCAAACCCTGCGACCCAAGCCGAGGCTGCGTAGGCAGTGGTTTATGGCTTTGTCCCTGACAGGAGCGGGCTGAGCCCTAAAGTAGATCCACTGGCCTACATCGTCCTGATCAGGTACTGCATGCGGCATATCGCTTGCTTGCTTGTCTGGGTTGGTTCACGAGGGCGTCCGTTCGGCTCTTGTCAGATCAACTATCCGATACGCGGTAATTCTCATGCCTGCACCCAGAATGCGAGACTGATCCAAATTACTTCGCAGATGACCGAACCATCACACACCATGTCCGCGCGTCTGCCCGCTCAGCCTTCCACAAATGCACCTCAGCTTGCTTGATGAGACTGCTTTGAGCCTACACTTGAAGGCCCTTAGTGTGCCTGGCGAGAGCCTGACGCATTCAGAGCACAGATGCCTCACATGACGAATGTCATTCTGAGCGATTGCTCTTGCGCTTCCACTCAGTTCACCTTTTGGAAATACTGTCGCAGCTTCGCTGATTGCGCTCACCGCGCCCTCGTGAGTCCACTGCACCTTCATTGATTGCGAGGCGTCCTGAACTCTGAACCAACTGATACAGGACCGAAGCCTGGAATTTTCTTGTCAGCAGGTGTAGAACCTTGCGAAACCACGCTTCACCCGTGTTCGTGACCCTGTCTAAGTCGCAGCGTCTCAACATCCCTCCTTGCAACGAATGTTGGGTGCCTACTGCCATACACTTTCCTCGACTGGTTCATGCCTTGCAGCTGGAAGTGTTCATCATGGTTTGCGGTTTGGTAAGGCGTGGAACCGTGTCCATGGCGATCCTCTCTGTGTCTGAAGCTTGCAATTCCCTTCACAAGCCCTCGACTGGAGACCAAGAACCCCAGCCCTTACAATCCTCTATGCAATGCACAAACACACAGAAGCCCGGTTGCTTACCTCTACGTGCTGGTATGCGCTGGCACGAGTATGAGCGTAGCCACTTTTGCCTTTTGCACTTGCCTGGCATCTGTTTTCAGATCCAAGCCGCGCATGCCTTCATGCATGGGCAGCGCATGCGCATGGCAAGGTGAGAGTTGAGAATATCCAGATGAGTTCCTCGTACAAGTAAAATCGCTCCCATGGTGGTCCACCTCCGTGAGGCCAGGCTCCCGAGCTTTCAGGCTCCCGCCGGGAAAGAGATCGTGATCGAGTTCATCATGATCGGGGTGATGGGGTTGTCGTCCTGTGTAGGCACCTTCGAAATTGCCTCGGCCACCTCCACGCCCACAATGACCTTGCCAAACACAACGTGCTTGGAAAACCAATCAAAGTAGCTGTTGTGGGCTAGGTTCACGAAGAACTGGGAGCCGCCCGTGCTGGGCTTGCCTGTGTTGGCCATGGAGAGTGTTCCGGGATGGTTCGGGTCCTTGGACCTGTGCTCATTGAAAGCCTGGCTGCACGGCAACCCTCGCCCCCGATCACCAGGTTTCGCAGTGCTGAACAAATACGATGGCGTTGAGCTTGCAACCCGAGGTCCGAGAAGTCCGAGAGCTCGCACTTCTTGTGCAGCAGCAGGTGAGTCGTAGAGTCTGAACCATCGCCACCGGAATGCTTTGGAAGAATCTGGAATGCACCACCAGGTCCTTTCTGAGATCTGGGGCGCACGTTGTATCACCCAACCCCAGCGTTGACTGAGGTCCAAGCGGGAAACAAGTTGTATTGGCGAGAGAGAGTAGCATCAATAACGGGGGGCTGAATGAACAGCTGAGGCGGGGTTGCTTCAGTTCCGGAAAAAAGAGCTGATCCAGATCCACGTCGAAACTTTTGGCTGCTGGCATTCGCCTCTCCAGGTTGCACATGTCTTCAAACTGCCAAGTCTCGAACGCCAGTCTTTGTCGTTGTGCATAGTGTCACCCGACAATTCTTCGAGGCAGCTCAGCTTGCAGAATGGCACCGAACTCCCTCGAGAAAGAGAATCGAACAATCCTTCAGGATGCCCAGTTTGAGCACGTCAGGTTGCCCTCCTCGATGCTGCCTGGCGCTCGGCAGCCAAGGTCTGGCGCCACGCAGGCATCCAGCGTTTGCGGAAGTGCGTTGGGTAACCTCTGGTCAGAAGCAAGGGTTCAAAACGAGAAGTGATGCGCTTCAACATTCTTCAAGCCTGTAGCCTCTTTCTCTAGGCTTCTCTGGCCCTCTCTGCCTAGCAGCGCAGGCTATGCCACAAATCGAGCCACAAGGTCGAATCAGTAGTGCCGCGTGTAGGTCAGTAGGAACTCCGGATAGACCTGGTCCTCAGAAAAGAAAGAGAGAACACTGCATACTGCTGCATACCGTATGATGCGGGTGATTGGGGAGTCGGGGTGCTGGACTTCGCACGCGCCGCTCGAGGGCCAACCTTTTACGACGCCCCAGATGCCACTCAAGCTGCTCCCAACTTAACATAGGGGCCTTAATAGTTCGAATAGGGTCTTGGGGTTACTATAGCATATTTATATAGGGACCCTTAGGGAAGCCTATAGTAATTGCAAAAGCAAAGGCCTCGTGCCCTGTGCAGATTTAAGTTTGACCTCTTCTGCCGCAGCACGGTGTCGTAGACAACGATCTCGCGAAAGGGCTTCTTCAACTCGGATACCCTGCAGGTTTAGGGTTTAGGGCTTAGGGTTTAAGGCTTAGGGCTTAGGGCTTAGGGTTTAGGGTTTAGGACTTAGGGTTTTCGACTTTGTTCGGCGGCTGTTGCCTTTACTCTGAAAGTGCACCGTGGAGACATGCGAGGTCATGGTGGAGGAAAATTGCGGGGAATTTTGGATGTCAGGTGTGGAGAGGGGTCCCCGACGTGCTGGCGCCTGTCTCCCAGGACAGAGTGGTGCAAACCACCGAGGATGTCCTGCTCCAGAGTTGATATGCGTATGGCTTAAGGGATGAAGATGATTCAGAAGTTGTTCAAGGCCGTATTGTCGAAAAAAAGTTGCAGAAAGCCAGACTTTAGAACTGCCCTCAAGCTGACAGGACGCATTGTTGGTTTTCTCAGGGTGAAAGGTTTAAAGGCTCAACCATCTTTAATGCGGGTAGCAGTTTCAGATCTCGGGTCGTCTGGTGGCTCTGCCCTAAGAACGCTTGCGCGACCACGCGCTCTGATTGCTAAGCCCCAGGAGAAGAAGCCACCTGCAAGGAAAAACTTCAGCTGAGCGCACCCCGCCTCCATAGAACACATCTCCCGAATGCAAACGTTACATTTCTAAATGGGGTGGTAATAGTAATATTCGCCGGGCCAGAGGGCCCGGCCCAAGACTACTTTCCATTGCCTCCGAGCTGATGTGTGTAAAACGAACCCATATAGGAAGGTCCGATAAGAATAATAATGGGGTGACAAATGCAAAATTTAGCTGGCCAGGAATCGAAAATCTTGCTGAAGATTGCTTAAAAAGTTCCATTGCAGAGAAGACTGTTCCTCTCTCCTTTGCTGAGGTTATTGATAATCGCGGCTCTGGTCCCTCTTTGGCGGCTTGGTTCAGGCCCCTAAAGGACTCCCCCAAACCTGAAAGGGTCAAGGTCCGCGTCCATCAACTCGCCCAGGCCCCGGGCCCAGAACCCAAACCACCCTTGACTGCTGAGATCAAGGTTAAACCAAAAGCCGAGATGACTACTCTGCGGCTCCTGGCCCCTAGACAGTACAGACAGATCTTCCTCGGCTCCTCCACTCAGGACACGCCGGTGACCGTGATCTCGGCATGGGCTACTGTGCTAGGGTGTCAGGTCAATGAGCTCACAGGAGGAACTTGGGAGACTCTGCAGCTCCCCAGGGGACCGTGCCTCATAGGCCACTTGAGAGTTCCTTTGAGCCTGGGACAGAAAGCTGCCAAGCTTAGCGGCAAGAGAGGCCAGCTGAGCTGGCTTGCCAGAGCTTGAGTCTTCAGAAAAAGCAGATCTCGTTTGAGATTGCTGCAGCTCCAGAGGCCAGAGAAGCCCCTGCTCTCAGATAAGCAAAGAGGCCGTGAAAGACTCACGGTGCCTGAGCTGCCCCAGAGAAGTAGCAGAACCCATGTGTTGCGGTCTGAGGCTTAAGAGAAGAATCTCTTGAGCTTGAGACTTCAGCCTCCGAGTCCTGGAATTCTGGAAAACGCCAGAGTTCTCAAAGCAAGGTTTCCTTACTTAATTCTTTATCCGCCGGGGCTCGAAAACAAATCCGGAAAGGGTACCCCTTACAGGCCTCCAAAATGACAATAATCAAGGGGTGGCAATAATATTTCCGAGACGGGGGAGGCCGGGAAACCAAGGAAGCCTCAAGTTTGATACTGGTAACACTCCTTTAAGCTTGAGACTTCAGCCTTCGGGTCCTGGTCTCAGGCTTAAGAGAAATTTTGAAAACGAGCCAAAGCAGACCCTTCTTGACAGCTGACCCCCGCCCGGAACCCCCCCCCCCAGACCCCCAGACCCCCAGACCCCAGGCCCCCAGACCTCCGAAATTCATAAATTTGACCCCCTCTTTTCTTCACCCTCAAATTCCCGGAAACCAAAACAAAATCTGGGGGGGGGGGGTTATTAAAGTAACCCGAACATGCAACCCTAAACCCTAAACCAGAAACCTAAACCCTAAACCCTAAACCCAACACCCTTAGAGTCCCCAAAACCTCTTTCAACCATGTCCGAAGCCTATTGCCAACCTGAGGTGTCCTCGCGCAAGCGATCTGTGTCGATCTGGTTCGTGGTGCAGACCCGGGGGCTGCCTGCGACCACGCGGCAAAGAAGCACCTGAGAGGCTGAGAGATGTACTCCCCGAACCAACCCCAACCCCCCCCCCCCCCCAAAAAAAAAGAAAAAACTGGGGTGAGCAGGGCCCGGGTCTTATTTTGTGGCAGAGTTGCTCGTTCCTCTCCGTCATATCAATCCTGATTCTGCCTCGACCACCCCCTGCTTTTTCGCTCCACCACCCCCTATAAATGTATATAAAGTTAGTTGAACTTGAACAGGCATCCGAGGTACCGTGTAGACGGTGGTGTCACCCTCCCCAGCACTGCCGACTGCATACTCGTCTGCTTTCCTCGGTGTAGAGTTTGAAGCTTAAGATGCGCGGCTCGCTGCGGGCTTGTGGGTCTAGGGCTTGCCAGCGCCATCCTTCGCAGCATGACTTTCCAAATGCGGGGTCTTGTGGCCCTTGGGCGCCATGTAGGTTCTCATTGGTTCACACCACCAACAGCACGCTCTAGCTAAGTGAGCGCAGAGTCGTGATTCTCTCGGCAAAGTACACGCCAGGGCCGTAAAGCGATGTGCCTGGCTTCGTGGGATCATCGGGCCCATCACCCAGCAGGCTCTACGAGAAGCTTCTCTCCCAACCCCGAACTGTGTCATGAACTCGGACAAGCCCTAAACCCGACATCTACCCGGGGCCCTACAGCCGTGCCAACAATATCAGGGCCATCACAGGGTCCCTTCTGCAGCCTTTCCCCAAAACCAAGGGCCGCGCCTGCGCCCGACCTTGTCCAGGTCGCACCTCGCTGCGCGTCGAGCCGTTCGAAACCCCTTTGGGGCTTTTCGGGGGGGGGGGGGGGAGTTTAGGGCTTAGAGTTGAGGGTTTAGGGTTTAGGGTTTGGGGTTTAGGGGTGTAGGCGTAGGGCTTGCATCCTTTCACAAGTCTCGGCTTTGCCCTTGCCCAATAGCAGATCCCAGATGACGGTGAGGCCCGCGTGGCCCCCTAACCCAGAAGCCGACGCCGGCACGACATCTCGTGCAAACCCCTTTGCTCCCATGAAACTACACAAAAGAGCCGTCGCGCAACCGGATCCAGCCAGGTCCAAGGTGAAGTTCCGCTCACATATGGCGAGGCACGAAGCCTTGGTTCGTATTTCAGGACCGGACGGCTTTAGGTTTTGAGCTGAGCACCTGATGATTTCAAATTTCAGCTTTCCGGGTCTGCTGGGCACAGGGCGAAGAGCAGGGCGAAGAAAAGCCCCAAGCATTTGGAAGAACTAGTCGGGCTCGTGGTTGATGAGTAAAAACTTTGCAAGGTCTTCAGGTTGTGGTGTGGTAGGGCGATTCTGTTGTACTCAATTCATAGCTTTTCATGCGGGGGTGGCGCATCTGGGTTTTTAAAGAATCAAACTTCTGAGGCCGTGCGATTCAAACTCCATAGAGGCCTTGTCCTTGGAGCCTTCACGCGCAGAAGCATAAGGAATAAGCATCTTGTGTGAACCCTATCTAGTAGACCCTTCATCCACGTAGCCGAATTCACAAAGCACGTCCTCCGAGAACCTTCAAGAGTCTGTGCCAAAATCTCGAGCCAGTCAGTGTGCGAGAGCAATCTGGTCAGTTCCCTTCTAGGGTACGGCGCCTTAAGAAAGGCAGCCATATAGTAAGACACACCCAGGAGCGGTACCAGAAAGCGCTGACATATAGGATTCAAGGCCCCCCAGCCTCTGAGCTTCCATGGAACAGCCACCATTCGTTCCTCAGCATAGCGTTGGAAGACACAGAAAATGTGACAACTCAGGCTTTGACAGCCACATACACACACACACACATACTCAAAAAAGAAATGGTGCAAGCTCATGCGTCCAGGCCACAGAAATGTGGAAACATGATGAAACATGTGGAATCTTTGGCTTGGGAGCCACAACAAATATGGAAACTCCTGCTTTTGCGAGCCGCAAAAGGTGTGGAAACCAATGCCTCTAAGCCACAGAAAATGTGCAAACTTAGGCGTTGGGAGCCACACAACGGAAACTCATGCTTTGAGCAACTAGGCCACAGAAAAGATAGACACTTAGGCTTTGGGAGCCACACAACATGGGGAAGCTCATGCTTTTGAGACCACAACTAAGGTGGAAGCTCATGCTTTTGCGGGCCACAACAAAGCCTACGTTTGCTTTCCACGCTTTACATAAGTCTCAAGGCATAAGTTTCCACATGTTCGGTCAAAGCACGATTTTCCACTTTTATGTGGATCTCAAACCATGAGTTTCCACCTGTCGTGTGGCTTCCGAAGCCGAAGCTTGCACATTCTCTGCGTTCCAGCAGCATTGAGTTTCCACACTTGTCGTGGCTCCCTAAGCTTGAGTTCCCCCACCCACACACCTCGCGACATCTCCGAAGGACGATCATTGCTGCTAGGCCAGGCCAAGCATCATTCGTTCATCCAGGGGCGCCCCATCCAAACGGTCGAAAGGCTCCTGCCGGGTCGTGCTCGCATCAGCCAGGTACAGTACCCTGTACGGTCACCTGCTTCATTCCTGGAATGCAGTATCTCAGACAAATTGAATTTGATGAAGTATCGACCGTGTTGCCCACCGAGCCCCAACCTTGCCAAGAAAGCTGGCTTGCTAAGATCGAACCGCCTTTGGCTCCTCAGACTAAATAAAGACCATGCTGCACGTAGAGTAAAACAAATACTCCAGGCAATAAAAACTTGCTGAACACTGGAGGTCTCGCGCCTGACTGCTTTCAGTGCTCACGCGCTTGCAGCCGCCCCGGGCCCGCAACTCCTTCAGTGCCGGCTGTCATAGTGTCATAGGGCCCAAAGTTCCGCTTCATTCAAGGATGAAGGACGGGAAAAGTGGGAGACAGTCGTTGCGTGCAGCTGCTGCCTCAAATGTTACACGACTGCCATGCCTTTGCCTCACCGCAGAAGGTTCATCTTCAAAACGCAAACATTCCTGCTTGCATGAGGCTTTGGGTTCAGCGAAGCCCCGCCAAGAAACGGGCTCTTATGAGAAAGCCTACAAAGGCCTAGGGCCTTTAAACCTTCACACATCCGCTCCTTGAGAATGGCTGCGCGGATCATGCTGTACCTCCGCAGGCTTGAAGGTTCTGACATGGAAGCCATCTGAGTTTTCTGGAGCCGCCATGCAGACTGAAACACCGAAAGGCCCTGGTGTCGCCTCGCCCAGTGCAATGGAGACTGATTCCGCTGAGCCGAAGTCAGTCGGTAGCCACTGGGAACCGCCACCTCTGGGCGACCATTCGAAAGGGATTTAAGGCAAGGGGCTCGAGCTTGCAAGGCTCAGGGAGATGAGCTCGAGTGTACTATGAATATACTTTTATATGTAAACGATATCATATGTCATTAAAAGGTATCTCGGCTTTTGCTGGAACGCTGCGGGCACCACCCTTCGAGCCTTGTTTTTGAAGATGCAGGCCGGCTCGCAGGCATTGACCCCATGCCTCGCAAGTCGGAGTCCAACCCTGAACCCGGAATATGGCTTCAGCTCCCAGATACGGGTGCCCAACGCATTTCCCTACCTCAGCGCGTCACCAGACTCTCAAACTCCACAATGGACCTACCGACCTGCTTCCATGGGTGATGCTGTGAGCAGAGTCTGGGTTTGGGGGGCCACACCCCACAGCCCGCCAAGGTGCAACACGCAGCCGCGATCACGCGTCCAGTTGTCCGCCTCGCCAAGTACCATGCGCAGCATAAAGCCACATGAGGTGCTTCAGCTGCGGCATCGAGGATGCTTGATCAGCCACTAAGAACAAACTGCTTCGACGTTCTTGGGAGTATTTTGGCATCTTCGCTCGTAGCAAGTCACACAGCAGGACGTTTGGATGCGACATAGGTCGGAACTGCTGTCCTCATCAAGAGCAGGAAGAAACACAGAAACATGCATGATGTTCGGGGCAACAGTTGCCGAACCCTGCACTCCCCAAACACCTCGGTGCAATCTCTGCCCAATTCAGGGGAGCCATGAACCCCGCGGAGCATACAGCTTGGAAGATTTGGAGTGGGATGGGAGTGGCTAGTAGTGGCCTGGGGGTCTAGGACTGTCTAGGAATCTGCCAAAACCGTGACCTCGCGACATCTCGCGCCGCCTCCTTGTGCGTGCAGATGAGCAAGGAGCTCAGCTTTTCCAGGATGACCTAAGGCCGTGTGGCGGGCAATGGCTGAGAATCCCACAGATGCTACAGTAAGCAGTGCCCGCTTCTAGATGGCTGACCTTTCGCAACACAAGGCAGGATGCAGGCGGTAGCACGGGGTGTCTAAGGACACATTAACCCCTTGCAATCTTCAAGCATCCGAATCATATCCGAGACGCGGAATCCGTCAGCTTCACCTTGGTCCAGCTGGCCGCTAAAAGGCGAACAGAAAAACAAGCACTGCGGTTACTCAGAAAACCTTCTGTGCTCCAGCATATCGTACCCCCAGGTTGATGTAGCCTTCTCCGGCTCAACACCTATGTCCACGAATTTCTTCGGGTGCAGTTTTTGGGACAACCTTACAATTACAATCCAGATGACAAGCTAAACTGCTGCCAGGCTTCAAGCCCCGTGACACCAGAAGCCCAGTGCAAAGGGCGACATGACAGGAGAAGAGCGGCCAGCCCTGGCGTGGAGTGGGGCTACATGTTTTTTAAGAGCTTGGGGCCACATATTAGGGTCACCAGCTCCTGACAGGCTCAACATTGCGTTGCCCGAGGTTGAACTGCTCACCGAAGAGAAGCAAGCCACCAGAGTGCACGTAGCACAAGCCCATCAAAGATACCCTTTGCTTCACAAACTCCCCGAGGCTGCATGCTGCCTGCGTGAGCGCGCCTTGTCGCGAGGAGTCAGACCAGTGAACGCGATCTGCATGGCCACAGCAAGCGCCTTGGCGACGATTCAGTTCTCAGTCTCGGTGACGTGCTTTACCGCGGCACAGACTACCAGCCGCAACCCTCCACCCAAAGCCCTCGCAAGCGGCCGGGCTGCAGGCTATGCCGTCTCCTTCAATGAAGGTGTGGCAGGTGCAACCCACTCCTGGGCGCGAGATGAGGTCCGGCAGAAGGAGGGCTTTGGGTCAAGAACAAGAAGCCACCTTAAGTGCACCTGCATACCTGCTACATTTGTCCATTTGTGTCATAGACCACCTAAAACAGACCCGCCCGATTCTCGTTTCCATCAGCCCAGCTTCCAAGCACGCTGGCGTGGCACCGACGTGCAGAGCCTGGCTTCACCTCTTCTCGGGGGCTGATCGGGACTTTAAAGGGTTGTGGGGGCGGGGGGGGGGGGTTATGAGCTAGGGTTTGTTTACAAAGGGCCTTCAACTTTGTAAACGTACAAAGGACACGCGCCAGCCCACCTTAGGAAGTCATGTTTACAAAGTTTAAAGCTTCGGCTTTCGTCAGGGGAGCCAAGCACTCGGCGAACCGGGGCTTTAGACGCTTCGGGCTTCCCGGATATGGATTCTTAAGATGATGTGCGTTTCGGGGCCCTTTTGTGCCTATTCCCTTGCTGCACACCGTCCATAAAAAATCCTAAACCGCACAACCCAAAACCTGAAAGCCCTTTCAACCCCATAAAGCCGCAAAAACGCTAAAAAACCCTAAACAAACCTAACAAGCAAACAAAGAAAGAAACAAACAAACAAAGAAACAAACAAGCAAAAAGCAAACAAACAAACAACAAAACCCTATACACTAAGCCCTAAGCCCCTAAGCCCCTAAGCCCCCAAGCCCCCAAGCCCCCGAAGCCCCTAGCCCCTTAGCCCCTAACCTCTACACATCCCAGGGCCCAAGTCCGCCTCGAGGCCGACTGCCAGATTCACGCCCTGGCGGCTGGCCCAGGTGGCCTTGGCCAAAGAGGGTGTAGGGTTTAGGGTTTAGGGCAAAAGGGTTATAGTGTTTAGGGCAAGTTTAGGGTTCGTGTCCAGATTTTGCGAGAGTCTTGGGTTGAAAGTTTGGGGCGGAAGCTTCGGGCAAAGGGACAGGGGCTTAGGACAGGTTTCAGGTTTTGCTATGACCCTTGTCGGCCTTTGGGGCCTTGTGGACCTCTAAAAGCGTTTTGGGAGTGTCTCGGGTGTTTTTGGTGCCTCTGGCGGCCTTTTCTGGTCTCCTGTGAGGCTGCTCGGGGCTTTTGCGAACCTTTTCGAGCTTTTGGAGTTTTTTGTACGCTTGTTGGTACCGGTGTTACGCATTGTGAGGTGGTTGGTATTTGATGACTTTTTTGTGGCAGGTTGGGTTTGGTCGTTGTGTTGGTGCAAGCGAGTACAAGCGCAGGCCGTCTAGTTTGGCCTTCGTGGTCGGGCTAGTGGGTATGGGCTTCTGTAGCACCAGGTTCTGAAGGCCTTGGGGTTCGTATACTCAACCTTCGGCGAAACCCTGCGCTTCATGCGCCAGGTGCATGTCAGGCCAAGAGCATCAAGCGCCTAGGGCTTTCTGGCTAATCCGAGAGCACGTAAGGGCTCTTCTTTTACTGGTCACTGTAGTTGTCGTTGTTGCTGCTGTGGTTGTGGTTGTGCCGGTCGGGATCGTGGTCGTGTTGTCGTCGCCAATTGTGCCGATGCCTATAGTGGCGGTTGTTGTTGTTGTCATGGTGGCGGTGGCGGTTGCTGTTGTTGTGGCTAGCTGCTAGTTGGTTGTGCCTCTGGGAACCAAAGACTCTTCGGAGCAACCCGGAACCCAAACGGGTCCGAAACTCTTCAAAACCAGCCAAAAAAATTGCTGCCATTCACCGGGAGGCAAAACGGACGAAGCTGACATGTCCACGCTGCACGCCGCCTGCAGCAGCCCACTCTGCAGCAACGTCCTTTCTCAAAGGGATTTCGAGAACGGCGTGTGAGGGATCGCAAGTTGGAGTTGCAAAAAATGCAAAAACAACATATGCCCATGTCTCAAAAAAGCTCTACAGCAAGTAGCAAGTGGCACCATTTCCCTTTGGGCCCATTCTGTTTGAACCGTCCTCGAAGCGCCGCGGTGAGTCTCGCAGCAGCCTGGGCTGCCAAGAGTTCCAAAGCCCTGCACCGTAGGACTCGGCTAGGGTTTTTCTCAACACGACCGCTCCACCAACACCTTGCCCCCCCCCGAACACACAAGGCAGCCGGCGTGCACACAAGTCAGAGGACTTCAGGTCTGGATGGTTGAGTGTGCGTGGACCCCCTTTCATCATCTGACCACTCTTAAACCCTAAACAGTTGGTGGGGACCAGTTCCGTTTTCTAACCATGCACCACCCCCTAGCACCCAAACCATAGCAACCCATACCTCAACATTCAACTCGCCAAAATGCCAATAGTAAGCCCCGAATGATGAAAAACATAGTATGGAACCAGGCCTAACTTCATAGAAAATGGCATACTCAACCCCCCTACCCGACACAGAACCCACAGTATCCAACCCGAAATCCCTAACCCGAGAACTGGACATGGTCTTGTTAAATAAAGATCTAGAATAGTAACTAGGTTTAGGGATAAGGTAGGAATAAAAAGCAAAAATATTATCATTTTGTTGAAAGATCGATATTACAGGTGAGTTTATAGGACTGATTGGTTTGAAATCATCTTCGGGGTTATTCATCAGTTTTAGCACACGTTCTTTTGTAAGTCGGTTCTTCCCCCTTCGCTTCTCACCCATTAGCGTATCCTTATACCAATCGGTTATTGTGGTAAACCAACACTCGTTTTCTTCGTAGTGCTCTATCTTGCTTCCTTAAAGGCTTCAAACTCGTTCCACACCGAGTAGCTCTGAGCAATATGATGTAATCAACGTATTCCTTATGAAATTCTAACTCTTCCTTCGCTTCTGGGTCGGGTTGTGGGTATTATACAATTTTAAACAACACGCTCGCGGTGTCTCTTTCGGTGCGACATATCCTTTATCTATCTAGTTCTGTGTCGTTAGAAGACCTTACATGTACTGCGTTCGGGTAATTCCAGTAAATAATGCAAGGCCTGCCATTGCTCTAGTAAATGCAGTATTGATTTCCTTATCTGTTCTTTTCCGTCCTTCAGTCTGGGCATGGATGTCTGATTTTGATCTCTTGTTTTCTTTCTTTGCGTTCTGCAGTCTCTCCCCTAATGGTTCTTTGTCGTGGTGTTTGTCGTGGATTTTGTCGTATGTGTTGTTTGCCTGGGTCTTTGTTTGTCGATTTCTGCAGTCATAAACTGTCTGATTACAGTATCTGCGGTGGCGAATCGTGCTATTTTACAGTCTTCATAGAAACTGATTAGATTTTGTATTTTCGTCCTAACCGGTTGTGTTCTTTTTGTACTTGTCGCAGGTTGTTTGTGCACACGGGTCGTTTTCCGTGCCTTGCTTTTCAGCCTGCTTGGAGCCTTTGCTGGGAGCTCGGGTTTCGTTTGGAAAGTTTCCTGGAGAAGGTTCGGCGGGTTTATGAGGGGGGGGGGGGGGGGGGGGGTTTCCGTCCTGCCAAGATAAAACAATGCAAGCCCTAATCGCTGTTTGTAAACCTGCCTCAATTAATGCAAAGAAGTACGGCACTGCACCCAAATCCCGAAACACTCCTTAATCCCAGATTCCCGATTGATGCTTGCTAGCAACAGCGCAAAGATAGGATTCTGACATAGTATTTCAATATGCTCAATCAGTTCAGAGTATTTTTTAATTAACTGTTTATCTTCTAAATATAAGGTCAGTGGGTGAAATGATTCTATTTTATATTCCTTCTTGTAAGGCTTCCACACATCAAATTGAGTAAACACTGGTATCTCGGTCATCTGATTAAATGCATGTGTGAACGCCTTTCGGACATCTATCTCTACACATGACTCTGTTGTAATAAAATATTTATCAAATTCTTCGCGCTGTACAGAATACCAGTGGTAATATTTATTTATCTCGCCTCCTGGGTTTACGGTTTTACACTCCTGGAAGATTTGTATGTCTATCTCGTTATAGTAGGATTTATGCAAGGGGTTAAACAGTGCTTTGTTGAAATCGTACATTGCCTTAGACATTCTATTATAAGTATTCTCTGTCCTAACACAGATAGAACCATCAATGGAACTTGTTACAAGGTTCTGCGTTTTGACCTTGTACTTGATGAGTCTTTTATTGGTATAAAACCTAAAATTCAACTCAGACACGATACACCCACTGAACTTCACCTGTGGATCATAACCTGCCTGTTTGGATTCATAATTTCCGTCATATATTAGGGTATATTGGTCTTCCTCTGTGTGTTTTCTGATGTCATCCAATGATGCTATCATTTTACACTCAACTGGTGTGGACTTCTCATTTAGATGGTAGTCTGACGAAGCCTTCACGAAAATGTCATAATTGGAATTCTTTGGTAACATTTGCTTCAATGAACTTAAATTATCATTCACGGTATAAATGTGGTTGTTCTTGATAATTGCATACAGTGTTTGCATGTGATGGTCTCGCTTTTCGGGGTCGTACTGATACACCAGATTGTTAAAAACGTCATATACCCTAACTTGAATTTTATAGTGTTCAAACACCTTGGTCATATCGTCAAGGCTAGCACCGTTGGTTGTAAAATCATCTTCTGTTTTATTTATGAGTTTTAAAATACTTTCTCTGGTTAATTTGTTCTTCTCTCTCTTCTTGTCGCCCAGAAGGGTATTTTTATAATCATCCGTTAGGGCATTAATCCAACACACATTGTCCTGATAGTGCTCCACTTTAATGGCTTCCTTTAGTGTCTCGTACTCTGGATTGAAAGGGGTCTGAATATAATTATGATACATGCTCACATTAGTGGCGTCCCTTAGGTTCTCGCGCTTTGGATTAAAATCTGAATCACCGTCTACCCTATCAACTTCATATACTGTAATACAATCTATGTAATCTATCACGAAGCCGATGACTCCCAATATGGACGGGTCTCTTTGTAAGTCCAATAGTAATTTTATGAAAAGCCTCTTGTCGCAATTTCCAAACACTTTTCTACCAACAAGGTTTTCAACATACGATGTGGTGTTAATGCTTTGTGTGCCGTATACTTTCTCCTATAAACAATGGTACGAAGGGCTTACCTGCTTTGTCATAAAATGCTGTTTTCTGTGTGTTGGTGTCCGTTTTGTATCTAAAAAACGCCACTGTCATTGAATAGTCATGTTTTTGCCTAGGGTTGGTTCTTCCAGTTCTCTTGTTTTCCTCCATTCTTTCGCCTAGACTGGGTTTATCCTTATGTCATATCTTCAGGTTTTGTCATTTCACTATTAATATATATATATATATATATAATATTGCTTTAAGTGCTTTGTCTTAACACTATAATATTACTTGATTCTCAATCAGTCTCAAAAAGTCTTCAGAAAATATATTTAAAGAAATATGTTTATTATAAAAATTATATATATATATATATTGTAATTTATGACCAAAGCTATAAAGCGAAATATCACTGCTTTAGAAGCAGTGTACGACAATTACAAAAAACGCTTCAACAAAGAAACCAAGGAAAAAAGTCAGAAACATCATAGACTTATATTCTGAACGCAAGATAGCCCAGTTTACAACAGCCGACATTAGAAAAATTTTTCACATCCAAGACACCAAAGGACAAAGAAAAGGCAGAAAAAGAATACAATTAGGTTTCAGGTTGGTCGTTTGTTGTGTATCAACGTGAGAATCGATTGCATTGTGCTGTGCTGCCCTTCTTCTCCTTCGAACATAGACAGAAGCCTTCAGCCATGTTTGAACTGGCACACACAGACATGCATGCATGCATACAGCCCGCAAAGGAGTCTACGAGACGAAGCATGCACGTTCTTGTGAAACATGTGCCGCCAGATTTCTCCAGTTTAGGGCTCCGCGTCATGGCTCGTACCCGAAGGCTCCGAGAACAGATTGATGCGTTGGCAGCTGCAGTTGGCAAAGCACAGGCGCAGGCTGCAGCAGACGAGAGGGCTGCCAAAGCAGACGAGAGGGCTGCCAAAGCAGACGAGAGGGCTGCCAGAATGGAGACAGAGGTTGCATTGCTCAAGACATCTATTGCAACAAGCCCGAACCCACTCAAATATATTCTCTCCCTAACCTTGCCCATCTCGGGGAGTTACATCACCTGATAAATAGGATGATTTTCTATATGGTAATGTGTTTTAAGGATTATTGAGCACTAGTTGGTTGACGGTGATGTAATTACCCAAACTGGGCGACCCCCTTACCTTGTCCATTTTAGATAATTGCACCTTATCTTCTATATGGTAAAGTGTTTTAGGATATAATGGCTACTATCTGGGCCGTGGTGGTGCAACTGCCCAAACTGGGCAAGGCCTCCCCTGACTCAAACCCCCCCCCCTCGCCCACCCAAACCCTTGAAGTCCAGCTGCCCTCGCTGCGCAAGCTCCGCGGCGGCGGCTCGGAAGTCCCGGAGTCGAAGGTAGCCTCTTGGACCCTTTCTCCAGGCGCTTCGAAAGTGATTAGGGTTTGGGGTTTAGGGCTTAGGGTTTGGGGTTTAGGGTTTGAGGTTTAGGGCCTAAACACTGCATGCGTTGGAGCTGAGTTCTGACCCTTGCGGCTGCACAGCCCCACGCGCCTGAGGAGCGTGAGTCGAAGTAAGTGAACACATCCCATAGTGTGTCCTCGGCGGCTTGCATGACAAAAAAAGCACGAGGGGGCTAAGGAAGGAACCATCACCATCACAAAGCCATGAACAGCTTATGGAGGCCCCGAAGTTGGACCTAGGCCCACTCCTTGGCATTCTCTTGATGCCTGCCCAACCCCCTGCTGCCTTGCTGTAGTAATGGAGCGTTTTAAGGGCTCCAGTGCATGCCCGAGCCTCTTCTTCGCTGCCCTTGCTGCTCCTGCCCTTCCCACCTTTTCTGCTCCCCCCCCGCTGCCTCGGAGCCTTCCAACGTGCAGGTTGTTGTGGTGTGACTATGTGTGAATCGAGAGCGCAACCGAAAGCTCGAAAATTGAATTTCGACTTGTCGTTTGCCAAGGACTTAGGGCCTCAAGTTGAGGGCGACCAGCTACCCCTAAGCAGAATCTCAAATCTGAACACACTTGGCAGCCTCAAGCGCTCATCTTGCGTGTATTGCTCCACTCTTTTGAAGGGACCCTGATTCAGAACAACCTCGAAAACCTGGCCCACACAAAATCAAGGACAAATCAACAACGAGGCAGCTAGACGAGGGGTCGGGCAGTGCATTGAATCTGGGACATCCACCGAGGCGAGCTGCGCATGGATTTTTCTCTAAAAAGCGTGAATAATTGAATGGTTTGAGTTGTTGAGATTCCCGAGTTTTCGAGTTACTGACTTTTCGATGTTTGCGCTGACGGCCGGTGCCCCATTTGCCCGATTGTCCAGTTCCGAAAAGTTGATGCTGACAGCCGTGAGTGAGCCGAAAAAATCTGGGAAATTTCGGCTCTTTGGACCATGTTTCATGCGGCTCAAGCTTTCCAAGCTTTCGAGTAGGCTGGTAAGGATGCTGACGAGCAGAAAACGTGGCTTAGCAAGCTCAAAACCTGCTGAAGGCTGCCACAGCGTCCAGCTCTGGTCCAGAGTCGAAGGCCACCTCTACCAGAAGGCTGTTGGGCTCATGCTGCATGGGGAGCTCTCTAATTCTGCAACTGCCAACTAGGCATGAGCAGGGACCGACAGGTATCGACAGGCATCAACGCGCAGTCATGCGCTTGGATTTGATTCACGACAAGACCCCAGGCCGTGTTCGGTCCGGTTTCAGTGGGATTGAGAATCTGAAAATTTCGGCATTGTTCAGGAAATCCACGGAACCGAGGCCCGCAAACAGCGCAGCCAACCCAAACTCCTGTGCCCACACCCCCAAAGACACACCCCAAGCCTCCGTCCCGAGTTCCCAACGTAGTTGTCCTTCGCTTGTGAATGGGTGCTGAGTGTCCTTTCACTCAAGGCCAAAGCCCAAGCCTTAAAGCCCTGAACCCCACAGCCCTCCGCAGCCAGTTGCCTGGCCCAGCCGGTAGCATTGGTCCCCGGGGTGTGTGAAGCGCTCGCAATGCTCGGGACTCACCTCGACAGGCTTTCGGGCCTGCAATGCAATTGAGGTTTTGTGCAGCTCTAAGCTTTAGTGTTCAAATACTGATCTTGTAGCTGCTGTTCGCGGCCATCGTAAGAAGTGCCTGTGGACGCATTTCTTTTTCTTTTGCCTTCGTGTTTTCTGTGCATGATCTTCCAAACAGAGTGTGAGAGTAGCGAATTCGTGGTGGAGAGCGCGCAGACACAAAGTGAAGTGAGAAGCTGAAAGTCAGGAAGCTGTCGTTCTTTCAGTTCGGAAGCACTCACTCATGCGGCGCAGTATACAACAACACACTCACCCTAGTGGCCCAACCTCAACAAGTCGCAACCCAATTCTATCGCATTCCTCTCCCTCATCGCCCGCCTGGTAGCAGGAGGCCCCAAAGCGGCATGCCACCTGCGACTAGGACGGAGTACAGTCAAGGTGTAAGGTGTGGAAAAATCCGTTGTCATAGACACCCTTTGAAGATGGTTTTAGAACCCCAGCCTGGCGGAGCTCCCGAGACGGGTAAGCACCACATACCGGCGCCAGTAGGGATGGGGGCATCTGTTAACTCTAGCTTTTACCCCAGCCACCTTGACCAAAGGTGCAGGGCTTCCGGCAGTGTAGCCACCAGCAGGGAGCCTGGCCAGGCCGAATCAACATGCACACTTACCCTCTAAGCCGCCCTGTCAGTGTTAAAGTAGCTTCCTCGAACGAAGGCCCGACTCGACATTCCGACATTGCGGCGTTAAACGATTTTCGCTGGTATGATGGAGGGCTCCATCCCACATCTTCACTCCACGCCTTGTGGCATATGCTCCCATCTGCTGTCTTTGTCATCTGTCACTGAAATCCAAGCTTTAGGTATGCCAACGAAGGCCAGATCCCTGTTCCTGAGACTCCATGTTCCGTGGCACAAAATGCACAGAAGCCACCGTCCCCTGCATTCTGAAGCTCACCATGCACCGAAGTTTAACCGGCGTGTTCCAGAAAGATGTCCGGACAGTCAGCAGTGTGAACGCATCCCAAAAGGCGTGCCTAGGCACGGGCGTGCCAGCATCGGAGCCTCTCCTGCAACCCCAGGCAGCTCAAATCTTCTAGATGTGAAAATGAGATACAGTATGGTGCCATATGCAAGGAGGCCTGCCAGATGGCAGAACTCATGCCTACGGAACGCAGACCCGCCAAAAGCGGGGTCTAGTTGCAAAGACGGGCCCATGAGTAAACCAGAGCTTAGGGTTTAAGGCTTAGGGTCCCAGCAGTTCAGGGTAACCATCAGAGCATGGGTAAACTAGAGGGTTGCACAGGACGCGGGTGCCCAGGCAAAGACGGAGCAAGCTCAAAATCTCCAGGTACGGGCACGCCGAACCACCTCCATCCAGCCCAAATCTAGGGTTGTGGGGGACTGATTAGGAAACACTTCGTACACCTGAAGACTTGAATCAGATTCATGCCTAACGGCTTAACGGTCTACTATACTCAAATCGGTGAAACGAAACAGCCCCTGACACCCCAAAACACAGAACTGGCGCTCAGCACGCACCCATCCAAGGCTCCGGATCTTTGCCAGGCATGCAGTACAAGTGGGGCCCGCAGCATGCTTGCCCCTGAGGCGCCGCAGCTTCCTCCGTCTTAGGCGTTCGCGGTTTAGGGGAAGTTGGAGCGCCTAAGGGCCCGGGTGCTACCAGCCAAATCCTCAGATTAACACCACGAATCTGGGAGAGTTGCAGTTCGAGCCCAAGGCCAGGAGAAGTGCTGCCACTCAGACCTAGCTCCCCGAATATGATTAACATGAATGCTACGACACTGATGCGCGCACAACCATGTCCGACCACCAAAGCGCGAACCCAATGTTCCTGTGAAGCTGAAACTCTGATCCGCCGAGAGTCCGGAGAATCCACTCCGCCACGCCAGCTGTCGGAGAACCACATTCCGGACAGGGCATCCGCCCGGAAACATTGGGTTGTTGAGTGTGTCTATGCTTTTTGCTCGCTTGTTCTTGTTTCTGCTGCTGCTTTTGGGACCCTTTAGTTGCAGTGCACGGCAAGCTCCAGCACTAGCGCATCCCATGTTCGTTTTCCCTCACCAGCGTCGGGCATCCAAGTCTCTGCCAGATAAGTCAGCACATACCCTTATGTGCTGAACCCGATGTGAAACTTGAATCTTGAGCTCTAGTTTGAGAGATGCGGCATGCATGGTCCGAGCCTGCGAGTCAGGCTCCGTAGCTGTAAAGCCAAAGCTCAGGGCTTCTGATTGGCTAGGTGTTGTTGAGGTGTGGCACTCGCGGAGTCTCATGGAATGTTTATCTTTATCCACCGTGCCTGTCTGAACATGTCTAGGGGATGGCACAATCAATGTTACTTCGTGCCTTGGAAGGATGCCACTTTCTTGCGCAAGATCCTACGCAGCCTTACATAGCAGACGTAGCATCACGTAGAGTATCAAGCAGGGATCCGACCATGTCCTCACCCTGAAAATGGCCTTCGCCCGAGAAGACGCGTCCTGGGCCCCCCACGCAGCGGCCGGGCTACGGGATGGCAGGCTTCAAGGGCAGGGCCGGCACGACCTTCCCAGGAAGAAAGCAAGCATCGGCAGCGTGCTGAGAGTTTAGGGTTTCGGGTTTAGGGTTTATGGCTGCTGCACAGGGCCCGGGCTATGGCTACCGCACAAGGCGAGGTACCTTGCGGAAAGCTGCTGCCCCAAGACATCACATCCAGGCTTGGCTTGGCATGGAAGAAGCATGCCAGAGCCCCCCCAAAATGTACATGTACAAGTAGCATATTGTTGTATCTATTCATATATTTTTGTATTTATTTTACATTTATCTTCATGTATCTATTTTTATACAGAAAGGTACACGCACATATACACACATCGAGGCATCCTGAATCGCTGCTGACATCAAGCTGACTTTAACACTCGATAAGGACCTTTCCTGGCCTTTCCCGACTTTGAAGAAAAATGCATGCAGGTGCACAGATTTGCGTCTCAATCTGTTTCATTCAAAGGTGCTGCATGTCAGCCGTGCGACGTGGAACCCCCCCCCCCCGCTATGCTCTGCGGAATGCTGAACAAGTAGCAGACATGCTGCTATGGGAGGCAGTTCACACACACCATCTTCCCTTTCCGTCCGGAACTGCCACCCTAAATGTGGCGAACTCCCACAAACCGTCCTAAGCCGCATGCACAAAGGGCACCGCTGCCTGCGGCAGGGTCGCCGGTCCTGGTGCCTTGGGAAGGCCTGGTCACAATGCTGCTAGCTTTGGGTTCTTCGTTCTGCTGGTGTTGAGGATTCCACAGCAGCTCCTGTAGTGTCCATGGGGAGTCTAGCACCTTGAGAGCTAGTATGACAGCGCGGAGCATTGAGGTGAGTGGGCTCCGGGTGAGGGTCATTTTGCAACAAGCCGTCAGAAATTCAGCTCGGCACCCGTATCAGCACACGGACGCTGCGTCGAGTCCCCACTACCGCAGGCTTTCATTCTGCTCGTATGGTGCCCTGACCTTCCCTCAACCTTCCCCCGAACTTCAGGCCCAGACCTCACACAATGTTCGAGTACTGACTTGCAACCAGCAGCCGAAACATAGGCACTCACCCTGGTAGCGCACCTGGCACGTCTGGATTCTCGATGACTTTCCTGGAACGCAGAAGCTTGGACATCTTGCTTCGCAGTCGAGTGTCGTGGCTTACAGCTGCAATACTACTCGGCGTGATTTGAACATGTGCCTCCCCCCCTCCCCCCCTCGCCCCGGCACCAAGAAAACATGAAAATGGAAGTCGGGTTGGGTGATTCGGGTCCGTCGGCTCAGAAGCATTCGTTTGCTGGGGGCGGGGGTGGGGCGTTCTAACTGTTCATAAAGGTCCCTTGCTTGGATTCCTTTCTCTTCGGGACCCCGGGATGAAAGTATGAATTGAATCGGGTTACCTGTGTGGGAACTCTACGGTACCAGTCAACATCTCGCCAAGCTTGGCTCCAACCTGACATGACATGCTGGTGGCGGTTGGTTCCGCTTCTTTCTGCCAAGGGAAACCCCCAAATCACCCATTCGACGCACAGATTCGGCTTGACAAACTCCGGATGCAGGATGCCGTTCTGCTCGCACCACCTCGATCCAGGTTGGAGTTAGACGTTGCAGCGCCGGACAGTGTTGAAATTCTAGATTCTAGACCAAGGCCTTGCATGAAAGTACTTTCTTTCCACTGGCACTGAAGCTGACTCCTCTTGCTGCTATAGACCTCTAAGCTTCTGCCCAACCCCTTCACCCTGCCAATACTCGGAACCAGCCGGGCCCAGCGCTGCTGATGCCCTTCGTAGATGCTCTTCAGTAAATCCTGCAGCTGACAGGATGCGTCGAATGGAAGCAGTGGCCTGTCATGAGGTTGCCCTGTGCAGTGGAGGCTTTTGCCGGGAGTTCTCTTTGAGTTCTCTTTGAGGCGCTGCAGCACACCCATCTTGCAAAACTCTGTTGCTACCCCGGCAGGACACAGCACTCGCTTTTGGGCCTTGACCGATTCCTTCCTGGTTTGGCTTTTCCCCGCGCCCTTGTCGTACCCAATCTTGGTTGACCAGTTGCGCATCTCCTTAAGACACGAAACTTTTGACGGGGTTGGCGTTTCCTCGGCCATGAAGTTTGCAGCCGAATCTCGAGTCTCGCTGCTCACCTTTGTCCCACTGCTGCTATGGTATGGCTTTTCCTTGATTGTCGAAACTCCTGTTGACCACGATAATGGTTGACGGGGTGGTGGGTTGTTGATGGGTTTGGATCGCTCTTGATTCCTGACTTGCTGCAAGCACTTTCCAGGTGCCGAAGCCGTATGTCTGTTGGATTGGATGTCCGGCATCCGACTGGAACAAACCGTGAAACTGTGGCTTGCCCTGGCCAGACCAGCTTGGAACCACCGTTTTCAGCGGTTCAGCTGCGGGCCAGCTCGAAAATGTACAGATCAAATCGAGACGGCGATGGCACCAAAAAAGCACCTTCCCAATTCTTCGTCGCGACGTCTCGCCCTCGTCGAGTGCAGGATAAGACTGTGCGTCGGATAAAGGAAGATATTTTGCGGGCGCGTAGCAACGACTTCTGAATAGTGCGCTAGTCTTCTGACAGGGCTCCCGCAAATCGAAAGGGAGCCTTGCAAATGGGCCTCCACCACATGAACGACTCCACATCCGAAGCCCGAAACCACCCTGGACTGTCCTGGTCCTAAACTCAAAGCAGACACGAAAGCAAAACACCCCAAGGCACCTTGTTGCTTTTTCCAGGCTTAGGAAGATCCGAACGGCCCCCAAGCTGCTTCCCTACCCGGTCCAGCGTCATCTCTAACGAGGCCTTGCCGTTCTCGACGTTCTCACCTCGGCTCGGGAATTTAGGGGGGGTTGAAGGGGTTTAGGGGGCTTGCGGGTAGGGATTCACTGGTTTTTTAGGGGTTCACGCTTGGAGGTTTCGGCCGTCCTTGGCCCAGCTGGTCGTTGCAAGGCGGTCAGGTGTTTGACTCTCGAAGGTTCGCACAGGATGATTCAGCTCCGTGATTTGAGGGGAAATTTTTATGAGAGCGTTCGTCCGCACAGTGCCTGCCGGATGTCGGATAGAAGACTACGCAAAACTGTGGGAGTTTCTAAGTCTACACCTCAGCGTCACAGAGGCTGCGTACGAGAATCCTCCCCTCCTGAAGCACTTCCCCGAGCCCCTCAAAGGAAAAGCACACATTGACAGGCGCTAGAAGCTCGCATCCACAGGAGAAGCCCTCCTCTGCCTTCCTTGACCTCAAGCCACCTAACTTCCTTGGCCCCCCCCCCATTCTTTAAGTGGAGAGCTCGTGAGCCACAGGAACATCGGTTCTGGCAGCTCCTCGAGGGTTTAGGGTTTAGGGTTTAGGGTTTAGGGGTTGAGGGGTTTAGGGTTTAGGCGATGTAGGTCGATGTGTCGAATGCGCACAAGGATGTTCTGGTGTTCACAGATCACGCTTCAGGTCTCTTCAGGATTTCGCAACAACCTCCTTAGGCGTCGTAGTCCGGAGGGTCCCAAAGCTTCCCAATGCAATAACAAAGGCGTCGATGTTATGAAGGCCTGACAGTTCTTATAGGGGCCCCAAGGACGCCCTCTCACATTGCATGAATGAAGTTGGGCCCCTACCCGAGATGGGCGGATTCATATCATTCTGCAGCCGAAAACCCGACGATATTCGCATACAAGTTGCGACTTTCTTTGTATGCTACAACACCCTTTTACTGGGTGTAATATCATGTTTTGTACTATACAGTATAAATATATATGTATGTATATTCTATAATTCTAATTTCTATGATTGGTCTTTGTTTGTGCATTCTGTGCCATATACCGTACATGTGCATACTCTATCCGACATACTCTGAAACTGGTCAAGTTTGGTGCTGGGATGCCCAACTCCCATGCTTTTCGACCCTGAAAGGCTCTGCACATCCTGGTTGCTTTCAGGCTCGAGGGTGCCAGAGCCGGTACCCCTCAGCTGGACGTTGCACTTCGTCTGCGTCCTGCAACGTGCTTACGGCTTTCGGCACGGGTTCATGCCAAGGGGAGCCTGCTGAGCCGACGCCAGGGAAACGGCACGCCTCCCAAAACCCTTGAAGAACCTTGCAGGGTCCGAAGTCCACGCTCCACGTAAGCCCTCTACGTCAACAAAGGAAGGGCAACAACAGCAACATACACCAAGCAACAAAAAACAAAAAAGCAAACAACCAACAAGAGGAACAGGGAAGCAGTAAGCAGTCTCGCATACACTCTCTCAGGTTCTCAGCCTAAATCTCTCACACTGCCGGTCCTAATGTGTTCCACGTTTGCATCTCCTTCCCCTCGGATTCTCAAAACCTGAGTTTGCAGACACACTCGCGCTGCCGATTCCAATGTGTGTGTGGGCGTTGGGAGTCTGTCAAGAAAAGCAAAATTCTGCAGCAGGAGGGACCCCGAGCCCTTAAGATCTTAAAGGGAATTTCAGGACTGCGTAAAGGGCAGCGGGAGATCAGGTACCTACAGCTTCGCAACCGTCGGAGAAGGTGGTTGCAGTCCAGGAGTTGCCGGGGCTCCGGCCGTAGGAAACTCTGGATGCAGGGATTCTGCCTGGCTTCTGATATGGGAGCTTACGATACTCAGGGACCCCGAAAAGAGACCCCAAATAGTAGGATTCCCTGTATCATAAGGACCCCAATAAGGTACCCCTAATCTCGGAGACCCCAATATATTTGGGCAAGGTCATCGCAACTTACGTTGATGCGGCGATTTGGACATGAAGGGTGCGCGAAGTAGCAGCTGCAACACCACCGCCATGATCACCCCCCACCATTCAGCAGGCACAGGCCTCCACAATGATTTTGCAGCACCACGCAGGTCTCGCATGGCCATCGCCCGGCCTGGGCTTCGCGTTTTTTGACGGATTCGTAGTGCTGTGGAAGAGCGATTCTCAAGACAAAACTTTGGACACGTTCTTGACGTTACGGCTCTCAACCTAGCTCTCGTCTTACCCAATTCATGCTGTTCTCCAATTTTCAACGCGCACGGTTGCTGCACGCTGCACAGACATCATCGGCTTCGGGATGCTTCGGGCGAAAGGCCACCAAGCGTCCCCACGTCAAAGGTTCACTTGCGGAGCTGGGAATATGAGGAGTTGCGAGAATCACAACACACCACGCCCAGGCCTTATCCGACCTGTGGGGGCTTGGAGGCTGTACTTGTCCCACCAGTCTCACACACAGCTGAGCCCTGAGCAGGCCCTTGCCGTCGCCCTTCGCGAGACCCGGGCCGCCGTTCTTCGGCGCACCTAGGACATCCCAAGACTCTAAGCCCGTGGGTCTTCGAGCTCATACGACCGAAATGCACCTATTGAGCTAGTGCTCCGGGAGTGCAGTCCTCGGACAGTTTGCTGCTGCAGTTGGTCTGTCAGTGCAAGGCTTGTGGGATAGTGAGCTCCTTTGGCTTGCACAGAGCGCCTACAAACCTTGCTACGATGCTTAGGCACCATAAGGTCAAGGCAAAACCAAAGGTAATGGTCATGGTATTGGTATGGTATTTGAACTGCGTTTTGTTTCCTTTATACATCTTTGCGGTGTACATAACAACCACATACAGAGGGTCAGCGATGTCCTTACACCCGATTTCCTTACTAGAGGAAATCCTGTATAACTTGAAGTTGGTCATGCAAACCGACCTTTGCCTCATAACACTGAGACCGATGCAACTGCTGACGCTGGTATCGTATGAGCTTTCGGAATTGCCAGCGACTCATGTCAGAAGCCATCTTTTGTCTCCAGGTGCGCTTCATTGGCTTCGGGTGCCTAGGGCTCTGCGGCTCTATTGCCACATCTGTGGCCTTGAGCCCTCACACCAGCAAGAGAGCAGAATCATTCGACCCGAAAGAAGGGTCAACCGCGCAATACTCCACTGCCTCTTACCGTAGACGTGGAGATCCACACCCCCCGCTTTGCGAGCATGGGGATGTGAGCAACGATTTCGGATCTCCATCACAACCTGCTTGTAGCCTGTATGCTGACGTCACGTTGGTCCACGGGCCTGAATATACACATCCGGGCATCCCATTCCTCGAATTCTTCTCTGATGCCTTTGACTTCTGGTACGTCGCCATCGAGCCTGCGTTCGAGCGCCGTTATCCAGCGCTCGGTGTAGAGTGCACCACAGTGGTACTGGTTAATGATCTCATCCTCCCTGGTCACACGATGTGTTGAAGTAGTCTCGCAGCCCCCCTGCTCCCAGCCTGTTGGTGTCTGAACCATCGCGTTTCCATGGTGTTCATACGCTGGCTCAGACTGGGTAGCAGTGGAAACGGTTTCAGCAGAAAACAGCATTCGAGTAACCAAGGGGCCCCAAAAAATGTCTGGCTTCGGGATCCATGCCTGGAATATACTCTTTGGCCAAACAGCTGATTCGGGAGCGCATCTGTCCAGCATCACTCTGCAAGCCGCCCCTCTGGCACCTATGACAACACCAGGTTCGCCTAAAGTGGGCCAACCAGCCTTGTCCACGCCACAGCTCACCCGGACACAACGCCCTATCGGGCGTACCTGCTGCGTCAGAGGTTCCCAGCTGCCGGACCAGCATGCCCCACCAAGGACTGTTGAAGGGCCGCCTAGGTGTAGGGCATCATCAATCTGAACCTGCGTGGATGTAGTGGTAGCTGCCGGCCTCGGCGTAGTTTGAGTTGCTCGGTCCACATGCAGTGTGTCGAAATACTCCTCCCAATTACACTCATGTTGCTCAGCTGCAAGATGACTCTGCCCGCCGCCGTGAATAGAACCTTCAACCGCACCACTGGCACCACCCATAAAACCACTTGCCCGCGCAAACTCAATCGGTGGAATCTCAAGGCTCTTAACCTGTATAACTTGAAGTTGGTCATGCAAACCGACCTTTGCCTCATAACACTGAGACCGATGCAACTGCTGACGCTGGTATCGTATGAGCTTTCGGAATTGCCAGCGACTCATGTCAGAAGCCATCTTTTGTCTCCAGGTGCGCTTCATTGGCTTCGGGTGCCTAGGGCTCTGCGGCTCTATTGCCACATCTGTGGCCTTGAGCCCTCACACCAGCAAGAGAGCAGAATCATTCGACCCGAAAGAAGGGTCAACCGCGCAATACTCCACTGCCTCTTACCGTAGACGTGGAGATCCACAAATCCTACCCTAGACCCTATTATTTCCCCTAAACCCTATTTACCCTAAACTCAAAACTCTAAACCCATTTGCCCTAAACTGGCCCTAAACCTTATTGCCCTAAACTCTATTACCTATACCCTTTACCCTTTACCCTAAACCCTAAACCCTGAACCCTGAACCCTGAACCCTAAACCCTAAACCCTAAACCCTAAACCCTGAACCCTAAACCCTAAACCCTAAACCCTAAACCCTAAACCCCAACCCTTCATCGGTCATCCATGTTCAGCTCCTGGCCTGGCCCTATGTTCGGAGGCCTGGGCCACCAAGGAACACGGAACAGACTGAGGGTTTGGGGTTTAAGGTTTTTGGGGTTTGGGGTTTAGGGTTTTCGGGCGTTTGGGGTTCTTAGGGTGTTTTTGCGCGTTTAGGGCTTTTAGGGTTTTTAGGGTTCTTTGGGGCTTTTAGGGTTTCTAGGTTGACGTGAGGAAGTGACCACTGGAGGAGATGAGGCACAAGCAAGAGGGAGAGATCAGTTCTGTGAGAGGCTGGGGCCGTTACACGGTGACTGGTCCAGCTGTGCCTGCACAGGTCGGCGGCATGGAACTGGCTTACTTGGTTTGGCGGCGTGCGCGTGCCTGTGTCAAAAATCTCCATCGCCCAGCCGGATGAACCCTGAGCCGCTCACCCAGACCCAGACCCACTTTAGGCCCCTCCCTGCCACAGGCCTGGAGCACCAGGTCTCGGCCTAAAGCTGAGAGCTTAAGGATCTGGGAGAACACACACAGAGAAAGAGGTGCATCTTGGACTTAAGTCAGTAACTTACAAGCACGTAAACGCAGACTTCGAGTTTGAGTCATAAAGGTCGCGTGGAATCCTGGTAGTCGAAGCAGTCTTCATTGTCGTGTTGCTTGCCTTCCGCTGCAGGAATAACAATGTTAAAACTGGTGCTGGGCCGACGGCGCCAGTAGCTGGTAGGGAGCACCCATGACCTTTGCTTAGGGTTTCGATGACTTTCGGCGCCGTCCGACGCCAACATGAAAAAGCCGAGAGCTACGCACCCCACTGGGTTTAGGGTCTAGGGTCTAGGGTTTAGGGTTTGGGAGGTCAGAACTGGACGTCAGGCCATCATTTAGGGTTTCGGGTTGAAGATGCAAGGAATGAACTTGATGAACCACGCATGTTGTTGAAAACTATAAACTCGGCCGTTACCAAAAGCCCCAACTATGATCATGGGATCTTTGGCTCACTAGCCCGTAAGAAATACAAATAATCATGCGCCCCATTAATACAATCATTAAGAGCGAACCACAAGTCACAAGACCATTCAACATTCCTCAAGAGCCCAGTCATTAGAAAAACAGTTCTTCGTACCTCTTGGCACATAAACGGTATTGCAATCTTGGGGCGCACACTTTTTCTGTATCAGTTCATTTCAGCCCTGCCCTATGAATCCGAAGCCCTCGAGCTTTGAAGCTACCAAGCGTCAACAGAGTCTCCACAATGCCCTCATCCCAACGCCCTCCTGGAACTACAGAAACATTGGAGACCTGCCCCAACGCACCCTTGCAAGTGCCGTGGGAGCAGCCACCGCCAGGGTGCCCGTCACACCATCAAGGCTAACGGACTGACCTCCCGAGCCACGGCCGCAAACCCCCCATGCTGAGCTCTATGATGTCTCAAGCAGAGGATGCCCAAAACTCAACTTGGTGTCAGAAAGCTTCGACCCCTGAAACCTCAGGTTGAGGCTGCGTTGCAGGGCGCGCTCAGCAGCTTCTCTTGATGCTTGGCTCACGTGAAGGGTTCCAGCCAGGTTTTCTATGACTGCTCAGAATAAGCTCTTGTCTTTGGAGATGAACGGTCTGTGCTTGTAAGTCCCAAGCACCTGAACAGTACCACATGTTCCCGCTTCTTTCGAGAAGAATCATCAATGGTGCCCCTGAACCTCAGTTCCAATCCTGAGACGGCAGGCATGCAAGCCTGAAGGAATCAGAGTTCGTGGCTTAGGATAACGTGGACGGCGAAAGACCTATTGCCAGACCATGACATCGTGTATCTCATGGTTCCGTCATGCTGTCAGATATCATGTGATCTCGGCATAAGACACTCGGCTGCCCTAAACCCTAGCCCCTAAACCCTAAACCCTCAACCCTCTTGAGTTCTTCATCGAGCGGCTGAAAGCCCTTCAATCCACAAACTTGATTCAGTCCGCCTGACAGCTGTTTCTGCGCATCTTGTGCATCCACCTTCCACCCGCATCTCCCGTTTTGTACTTCACTTCATCACTCAGGCTTCGCAGGGGTGACGGGCAACCAGGGGCGTTGAATTCAGGATGTTGGAACTTCAAAGTGTGGGGCAGAAGGGCCGCACAAATGACTTTGCTTGAGCTCGCCCCGACTAGCACATTGTACGGCCTTCCGACATGATGCTGTCTTCGCGCGGGGCACGTCGATAATTTGCAAAATGATACAACAAAACCTCTGGAAGGGCCACACAACAATCTGGAAGCGCCACACACCTGAAAACACATCTCAGATCCTGTATATGTTTGCTTTTTAATGCATTGAGAACATACATAGGCATACAATACACTTGGCATATACGTATACTCCAATTTCAGTATGATTCTTATAATATGCGATGCGTACAGTCTGCCTTTTTGCGTACATGTTGAGTATACACCTACTCCACTTACACGATACCTTAACAAGTACTTGCGCTTAATACATACTTATTTTGCACTTCTTGCATACATTATATACTCCAACATACTTCTTCGTAGATGCTTCGTGTCTACTTCTTACATACTTGTTAGGTACTTATACACTTGCACCTGCCTATTGCTTCTGCTTATACTTGTATTCTTAAACTTGTACTGATACTTGAGTATTTATATCCGTACTCAAAACGCTACATTTGATTCACGAATCAAGGCACGACAAGACAATGCGTGCCGGGCCTGGTCAACGAACTGGACAGCGCCAACTTCCCGAACTCCGTCGCGCATGACCTACACTGCTGATGCTGAGGGTTCAGGAATCTGGAGAGTAGAAGAAGACCGCTGCAAAACATCTAGCCTACAGCCTTAAAGGGTGTAGAGAACTTGAATAACGGTCAGGGCGTGAGGTAGCTGGCATCGGAGGATCCGGTCCGATGCCTGAACGGACTGTATCGCCCCCCATCTCTGAAACATCTCTCTGAGGTCCGCCTGCCACATGCGGGCAAGGAATGCACTGCACTGCCGACTGACTTCTAACGCCAGGGATGACAAAACATGTCGATGTACTGCAGGAATCTCCGCATGAGCAAACAAAACAAAACGCACCACCAACATGAACATCCTGCCTCAGAGAGTTGGTATCTGAAGGGAAGGCTGTCAATGGCTATGGACCTGAAAAGGGTCGACAGCCCAACCGCAAAGCGCTAAGCTGCTACCTGTGGCAAAACACTCTTCAACTTCGTCCCGACTCTAGTGGGTCAGAGAAGCCCGTAGCGTAAATCCAAGTGGCACAGTAGCCCCGCTAGCCATGGGGGGCCCAGGCAAGGCCGTCCTTGGCTTTGGAATGATCGAACCAGATACCTAAAAGAACATGCCCGACATCTGTGCCTCAATTTCTACGGTACTGCTACCTTGCGAGGCCTGCTGAGAGGAGCCATCATCACAATCCAAGCCAGGGCACAACATGCCACCAGGCATGCCCGGTAAGGTCCTGAGCAGCTGTAGATTCACAGCATTCTTCTCTGCTGCTCAAGGTGCACAGACTCTGCTGGATCAGGCCATGCCAACAAGACAAGACATGTGTCGCAGTCAACCCAAACATGCTCTAGGAACTTTGGGCAAAACCAAACGCTCATGCCATGTCATGCATCGGAAAAACTCTCATGTCTCTCTGTTGGTCAAACACCACCGATACGTCAGTCACCTGTAACATCCTGTAACGCTTCATCAAACTTCAAAGCATGCCTTGTGCTGCAACGGATCGACAAGCTTTCTGCAGGTGCAGGCAGCATGCCGGTCAACAGCATCCACTGGGCTGTGTCTTTGAGGGAAAGGCCTTCGTGTTTTTGTGGGTCTGCTTTGCATCGCAAACCAAACACGAGCAATTCTCAAGCCAAGCTTCATGAGCCCGGCTGGCGGAGGGGGCCTGGGCGAATCTGGGAGAGGTAAAAGGGAAGCAGGATGTAGCTATCAACAGCCCTAAACCCTACACGATTCGAAGGGGTTCCGAAGGGGTCCTCTTAAGTCTTAAGAGAGCTCACACTGAAGTGCTTGAAAACCTGAGTCCCAACAGCAGCAAGCGCTACAATACAGCCACCCACCAAGCAAACGAATCCATGACTGGCTAGCGGCAGCCCGGGCGTCATTCCAGGCACCGGCACCTCAGTTATCTGAGAGGCAATGTGTTCCACAGGAGCTGAAAAAAGGAAGCTTTTGGAGCTTGACCGTTTTTGGGAGTTTTGGGTGGTTTTGGGGGCCAGGTACACTGCCACCATCACCACCAGGGGTGGTGGGGTACCTTAGCTGCAGGGCTAGAGTATTCCCTGGTATCACTGGCTTGGGTTTATGAATCGGGGGTTCCACGCTGCTCCCCCCCGGCGAGTCCACACGTGCAAAGAGTGACATACACACATACACTTTTGACTTTGCATTCGCAGAACCGTCCCCGGGTCCCTTGCGTGGCAACGACATATCCCGATAATACACGCATACAGAGAGAGAGAGAGAGAGAGAAAGAGAGAGAGAGAGAGAGAAAAGAAAAAAAAAAAAAAACTAAGCGCGTATCCAAAGATGCAGACATTTGTAAGCCACAGCCCAGCAGGATGCCCTCCTAAGACCCGGAATCCACAGCTACTGGTTCGATCGAACATGCGAGTTTGTGGGGGCCAACATTACGTCAAACCATCCTACATCAGGAGCTGCGGTCATCGTAGCTGAGGCTTAAAGGGTTGAGCCCTTGAGGTGGGATGTCCAGCAACCAACAGCAGAACCCCCGCAGAACCCAGCACCCAATGAGCACCCAAAACCTTAGCCGTTGCACATCCCATGAATTCTCAAGTTTTCTGGGACACGCCACCAGCATTGGTGCACCAGGCATGGTAGGGGCTATCCTGGGCATGATGGCAAGCATCGGGTGTAAGGCCTTGGTGGTTCTTGGTGGAAGCCGCACTCTGTTTAACTCATTCCGGGAATAAGGTTATGTTTGTGTTGCTGTTCCAGCCTTTCTGGACGGAATCTGGGATCCTGAGCATCCTTGAGGCTGCAAAAGCAGGGGAGTGCACTGGCCTTCGTGCCTAGGATTGTATAGGGTCTGTACACAAGGTGACGTACCGTGACGGGCACAGGAAGGCACCTACTTCCGCAAGCTCAGCACGGGAATCTCACGCACCCCACACAGGAAAAGTCTCATGTCGAGCAAGTCTCGGGGGGACCGCGAAGCCCGGCGGCGCCTCCAGCAATTCAGGTGGGGGCTTCTGGGGAGGTACACATGAGCAGAAGCAGAAGCCCTGAAGTCGCATGTCAGATGTGGACTTCCAATGGAGAATGGAATACTGGTTACCTTCACCTCTGCGAGTACTTTGGGACCAGGAGACGTTTAGCATTCTTCAGGCTTAAACCACGATGTCTAATCTGCAATACGGCATTTGGCAAGCTGTTTCTCTTGCATTTGTCAGGCAAGCTTTTTCTCTTGCATTTATCAACATATGCTGTCGAAACACCTCAGCCCTCTACGAACTGATTTCCAATCTTTCCCCAGAGTCTCTGCACGCCGTCAAGGACCCCACATTGCCAGTGGGGAGGGCTGCCACAGTCTGCATGACCTGCCAGCGCAATCCCAAACCCTGATTCCCAAGACCTCTCGTGAAAAGCCTTGCACATGAGACTATGACCAGGGTTTAGGGTTAAGGGTTTTGGGTCTGGTCGGAATTGTCGTGGTAGGCTCTCAGTCTGGCAGGGACAGAGCCAAACCGGCTACCGAAGACCTTGTCACATGAACCCTAAGACATCTTGTCGCTGTAGGTAAGAAGCTTGTCGGAAGTATGAAATAGTTGTCGTGGTAACCTCTCAGTCTGGCAGGTGTCAGCCGACAGGCGTTGTGTGGGATTGCGCAGAGGTGGCTTTCGCGAAAATTTGGGAGCATGATTCGATATAGTCTGGAGATGAGATATTTCCAGCCGGCAGTGCCGGCATGCTGAATTGTAGACATGTTTTGCAAGAACCACCTAAACCCTCACCTCTGACGCTGTTAAGATGAGATTGCAGACGAGTTTGGGGACTGAGGAATACTGAGGAGCTGGCCCTGTGGGACGCCGGTCCTCAGCGGCCCCGCCTCGCTGGTGAGAGAGAAATGAGAGAAGCTTCAAGTTTTCTGTTTTCGGGTAGAGGATCGGATTCCTCGGGCTTCAAGGTTGCAGGGAAGGCGGAGCATGAGAATTCCGAGGCTGCGGAACTGTTGGCGCTGGAGCGTCCGTCGGAACTTGGGATTCGAGTCAGACACCGCACGTCCTCATAGCCCACAGATGACAACAAGGAGCGTCGCCAGAGCACCCTTAAAGCGACAAATCTAACATTCCTGCCTTCCTTGAACATCTGACAATCCGAGCTTGCAATCCGAAATCTTCAGGCCCTAAAGTTGGACCTGCCCAGACCGACACGAGGCCTCCTCACGCTCCCGTCGCCCATCCCACTTGGATCCCAGAACTACTCCAGCAAAGACTGGGAAAGGAGCGCGCAGGGTGGTGCAAGTAAGGCCGGGCAGGGGCTTGAGGCTTCTGCTGGGCTGATGTGAGGGATAAGTCGGAGTAAGGCTGCGGGCTTAGGTGAGGTGCAGGAAGGGACTCCCGGGTCTTCGAGAGATGCCGTGTCTGCTCACAGTTCGGCTCCTTTAGTTGGGTCCAAGCACCTCAAAACCCATCTGAAACTAGCTATGCCTATGCTCCAGGGTATCGCTAGCATCGGGAGGAGAATTGACATCGAAGGCGAAGGCGATTGCTTAGACTACGAACACCTATGAGCTATGCACAGCGCCTGCGCTACCGGCTGGCATTTGCAAATTCATCCCCTGTCAATGCCCTCAGAAGGCTTTAGATTCATTCCTGCGGAGGTCGTCTGGCGACGCTACATTTGCATGGGCTCAAGGACAGAAACGGACAGCGCGCCTGTTTTGTGCTAACTGGGCTTGGGTGCTGTACCCTAACTCTCAAGCCTAACACTGAGGTGGTACGGCGGTGACAGTCATTCTTCACGAAGTAACCGGCATCCCAAACAATCACCGAGCCAACAGGTTAGCAGGCAAATCTTCAACTCTTCGTAAGCTCTGTGCAGTGCTGTGATATCTGTGTCGAACCAATCTCTACGGACCTACATCAGAACTGGATTTCAAACCATGGACACGTCTCTCCGGGCGCTGCTCTTCAGCGCGGTTCGGCCGGATCTGCTTTCGCAGACTTGCTGTTCTTAAGGTGCCTGAAGCTCGCCTGGCGTGTCCTCAAACATCTGCCTACCCTTACTCCCAAGGTCCTTCAACTTGTACCCAATTTGGGGGTTGATGCTCGAAACATTACAAGGACAATACCCCACAACTGAGAGCCATTGAACACCCGAGATCAATGCACGTGTTGCATGATGAGACCCTGTGCGAAAGCAGCAAGTCTGGCGCCGCCCCTGTCAGCCCTAGACCGCTCTGTTCGGGGGCGTTGCTGATGAAACCGCCGGGTTCTGGATTATCCGGTTTCCGGTTTACAGGGTTTCGGGTGTAGGGCTTGCAGGGGTCTACAGGATCTTGCGAAGGACTCCAGATTCTCTGTTCGGCACGAGGGACGAAGGACCAGCGAGTCCAGGGCATCCCGGGCGGATGCGGAAAACACGAGTGCCCATGGGCTCGTGCTCGCCATGGAGCTCGAAACTCGAGAAGAGAGGTGCTCATCTGGGAGCGCGCGATGCTTGAAGTAGAGTGTAGAGTTCAGGCTGTTCCGGCTCCGTGAATTCTGGGACGGGAAGCTGAACTCAAGCCAAAGCCACATGGCAACCTGTTCCCGGCTGCTACCCGCCATCTCATGAAGGATTCTGAAGCGAGAACTTCGGGTAGAGGTCTCGGGATACCTAAAGGCCCCCTAGGAAGGCCCGAGGAAGGCCACTGAAGGGACCTCGGAAGGCAGCCTCTCCTATCGACCCATCTCAGCGGCGACTCGGGCTGCCAGAGTCTCAAAAAGGTGGCCGACCTGCGGAGGCAGAGTGGCAGAGCTTCGCTTCGCGCTGCGCGCTGCGCGGGAGGGCGTTCAGGGATTTTCAGGGGCCCAAGCACTGCTTCTCCTAGCTTTCGGGAGCTCAGGGCTCAGAGTTCCCAGGTTGGCTTTTCAGGGCAGGCCGGGGCCCTTCGACTTTCCACAAATCCCCGACATTCCATGGCGTCCAGAACTGGTTCAGAGGGCTTCAGGTACAAGGTACAGGACATGAGGCGGGCATGGGTGAGCTAAGTCGCTAAGTCTCAACAAGTATGATTCAGCATAAAACTGAAATCAAACACGTTGATGTGGCACCCGTGTTTGCATGTAGAAGACAACAACCATGTCACCGTGCCACTCTGTGCGAGTGAATGCGTACACGTTACTAGCTCGTACTAACATGATGCTTTTCCGCAAGCCTCAAGCACTCTCACGTAGATTCACACTTCAAAGGATGTAAATGCCCTGTAGTGCCCTGGTCTCTGCATCAAAGTGAAGCTTTCCCCGACACCAAACTTCGCCAAGTACCACTTTGGGGCTTGTCGAGCTGTCCTCCCTTTTTTGGCTGACTCGCACTCCGAACAGCTTGGCATTGCAAGGTGAATTCTGCCGGGACCTGCTCGGCACACAGCTTTGCTTCGCCATGAGAATATAACCGTCTGGTACATTCTTCCATCTCAAGCGGCAACACGTTCATGCCAAAGCGCTTTGCGCGCGCATGTCCGGCAACAGCTGGCTAAAAAACTGATGTTCTGGCAGTCGGGCGTGAACCCTTGTTGAGGACAAATGTATGTGCTGCACGGCGTGTTGGTGCACGACATAGTCCCGAAAGCCTAAACTAAACCTGAACCTTTCTGGCCTAGCACACGTCCGATCGCCAATTTCATGGCATTGAAGGCCCTAAGGCGTCAGACCCTAGGCCCCGCCGCACCGCGCTCTCAGCTCATGGGGGCTGGCTGTGCTCTCCGGCGTCCACCTGAGACTACAACGGAGGAAAAACACGAAACGACGAGATCTTCCACGAAGCCTGGGCTGGCTTGTGGATGTCGCTTGTGGATGTCAGCCCCGAGCCCGAGCCCTCAAGTCCCAGAGTCAAAACCCACAACGCCCCCCTCCCCCAAAAATAAACATGCAAAACCCTGAGCCCTCAACCCCTTCGATTATTCGTTTATATACAGAAATAGAGAGATATATATATATATTTATTTATTTGTTTTTGTACTTATTTATTTATGCTACCCCCCCCCCCAAAAAAAAAAAAAACTACGTTTCCATATGCTCTCCCCTGAGGTCCGACAGATCGGCCTCCCAGTTTGGTCATGGTAGGGTTTTATTCATTCAGTAAGTATTTTTACTCAATTTAACTAATTTGTGTAATGTAATTAGTTGAGTTAGGTTGATTAACTTCGTTAACTAAAAAGATTAAAACGCAATTGTTCGAGCGAGTGCGAGTTTGTCTAATGGAATTGACTTGATTCGTTGAATTAACTTCGTTAATTGAACAAGCTTAATTCACAAAATTTGATCTACTCTGCAATTGCTCGAGCGAGTGCTCCAACAGAAGTGACCCGAACAATTTGCTGGATTGCGATTAGTTTTCAATAAGATTCCTTCCTTTTAGTTTTACTTGGGTTCCAATCAAATTTAATCGGAATCCTGTTTAAATGAATAGGAACCCCATTAAGATGAATGAGAGCCCTGTTGAAATTAATACGAATCTTTTAGCATTAACAAGAATGTCTGATTAATAGGAACCTGATTTAAATATGTAGAAGCTTATTAACTTTAATATGGATCCTATTAAAATATCTTGTAGTCCTGATAAATTCAGAGGAATTCTCTATTGAAATTCATAGGGATCCGAATAAAATTTGTAAAAGTAATAGGAAGCCCATTGAGATGAATAGGAAGCTGCTTGAATTCATGGGAGTGCAATTAACTTAATAGGAACCCCATAAAGATTTCTATGGGTTTCTTTTAAGATTAGCAGTTCCTTGGAGTCCTCATAAATTCAGAGGAATCCCCCTATTGATATTCATAGGAATCAATCCAAGCAAAAGGAATCCAATTAATACTTGTACGAAATCTAATTAAACTGAATAAGAAGCGGATTTAAATAGGAATATTATCAAACTTTGTTGTGAAGCTGACTAAAATTCTTAGGCATCCTAGTCAAATTATAAAGAATAAGAATGCTATTAAACTTGCTTAGAATCCTATTCAAATTACTTGGAATCTGATTAAAATGAATAGGAACCCTAATAAAATGAATAGGGACCTCCAGCCAAAGACGAAACACTTGACGTGCGTGCGTACATCTGTGTTCACATTGTCTAGACCCGTGCTTCTCCTGTCGTCTTCTTATGTTGGAAATTCCAGAAATCCAGAATTCCAGATTTTTATATGCTCGCCCCCCCCCCCCCCCCCCAATAAAGTGACCATATACATATATGTAGCAGCTTGAGCCCGAAAAGTTCTCCGAGTCCGCGGCGGGGAGTCGACGACGAATTCGGGTTCTTCGGTGATCGGAGGCATGGCACCTTCTGGGTTCACTTCGGGTGTGTTTGGGGTTTAGAGCTTAGGGTTTAGGGTGC